CCCCCCCCCCCCCCACCCCACACCCCCCGAGGTTTATAAAACGCCTCTGCTAGGAGAGGTTTTCACAACCTTGTAAAGAATGTTTCATTCTCCTCCCCAACTAACGTGGGATTTTTCAACTTGTCTAGTGATGTGACGGTGGTGGTTCTTGATTGGATGCCTCTAAGATGGCTAGGTTTGAATGAGCCTCAAATTTAGCACATATAAGTAAAATATAGTCGACATTATATTAGACTCAATCCTCTAGCTTTATACTCTATTGCAAAAAAGGTGATTATTTTTTATTTCATCACTGCACTCGTTGCCATTATGTTGATGCTTCTTGGATGTGTATGAAATTTTTAATTCTGAAATCTCACATAAATGATTTCTAAGTTATTTACTATCATTCTTGTTCCGAATTTTATCTGACATGTGCTCGTGCCTCTTAGGTTCAACTACATGCATTACGACAAGGAACATGGGGCGATATACAAATCTATTGAAGCTTTGGACCACATGGGCATGGATATAATAGAAACAGGAGATCCTGAAGCATTCAAGAAGTATCTGCAGGAGTATGACAATACCATTTGTGGTCGTCACCCTATTAGTGTATTTCTTCATGTAAGTGCCTGAAAACATTCCAAAACATATGCATATTACTTATGTTCCGACCTGAAAATGAGATTTTTGTTTTGGATAACTGAATGATGGATTGCTTTTGTTCCACCAGATGTTGAAGCACAGCTCCACAAAAATAAAGATCAAATTCCTTCGATACGAACAATCCAGTCAGTGCAAAACGATGAGAGACAGCAGTGTGAGCTACGCGTCCGCTGCAGCAAAGGTGGATGCTTGAATTGAAGCTGTGTGAATTATGGCAATGAAGAAAGATCCATTGATTTATAATCTTCTCCATTGGCTCTGCCTTAACCTCTAATATCATGCATTTTATTTGATCAACGCTTGTTCTTAAATTATATGGCAGTCTCCCCCTGTTACATATCAGTGTTTCAGGAACCTGCATTGTTAATGTGTTATTCTAGTTTTTGTTTCATATTCATAAGATTTATTCTCGGTCGGACTCAGGACTTGGACTGACCTGACCGTTGGCTGGAACTGGAAGATGTCTCATGTGTGGCTTCCAAATGAAGCCATGAAATAGACAAGATTGATGAAGGGTTTTCTGATGGATTTCTCAGTTTGTTAATGCAAGTGAAAGAAATATGGATGGTCGATGTTGGCTTTTACAATTTATTAATGCCAGTTTGGAAGAATTTTCTTCCATATCCTCAAATGTTCTTGAACCTTTTCAAACCCAAAAAGACGAACAACACTCCCTAAGATTTCAATGAAGAAGAACAACTCCAAGAGCTCCGGAAGCACATAAAAATCAGCTGCATTACGCTTCTGTTCCAATCTCCAAGATAATGTTGTAAATTGTAACAGTAGAACCGTCCCGAATGAGTGTTTACGATGAAAAAAGGAGAATTAAAAAAGGACTGTTATTTCGGTATATCCATCACATGTATCAAACTAATTTTGGCTTTCTATTATCAACAAAAGGGCATTCAGTACATCAATCAGTCACTATTAGCTCTACAAAATAAATGGCTGTGTATCTCAGCATCCGAAAAGAGGAATCAAGTGAACACGTCGAGATTCCCTTGGCATCAGCTGGAGGGTGAACTCAGGCACATAAACCCGTCGCAAAAGAATTGTCTAAGCTCCGCAAAATTTGCTGCATGTCCTAAACCACGGAACACACCTTGTCTGAAAAAAGAACATGTCCACAACTGGCATAAGTGTATATAACGATAAACCAAAAATTACCTTCTTCCTATGATTTGAACAGTTAGTAATTTCACCTGGTGGAGTAAACTTCATAAACCACTAGTGCCTATGATTTTTGTCTCTATTCTTATGAACTTTTACTATCTTGTTTATGTATTTATTTACTCATTTAAACCCTTCATGTGACTTGTACTATTCGTAATTTCACTAACTGCTACTTGAACCTAGAAATTTTAAGGATCAAATAAATAAAAGGTCAGAGTTTTAAAAAAATGCTATAAATATCAGAAACCAATTTGCAAATTGAGTTCAAAACTAAGTTATAAAAGTAAATGAATCATAATGGAATGGAGTTTGTATGACGAGGGGGAAAGATGCACCAGAGCACCTTTGATCAGCTCTCATCAGCAATCCAAATCAAAGGTAGTATTTTAAAACAAAACTTCAGGAAAAGTTGTAGAAATACGAGAAAAGACCAACTACCACAGTAATGGAATGGAGTCATATTCACCTTGTCTAACGCTACCGCAGCACAGTCGATTATCATCTATATGAGTAGCCTGGAGACCAATCATCCATGACCCCATTGATACATCGTCATGTGCGTAAGTCTTCAAAGATGCACTGCAAATAATACAAACAATCATAATACATGACATAACCAAGAAATATTTTCTAGAAAATACGCGGAAAAAGGGATTCATGAAAAATCTCACTAATAAGGTTCTTTTATATTTATAAAGCAGAATACTACATTCAAATGGGAGTGAACTTAAAGGAGTATAATTTTGCACATGATAGCTTATTTCCCGGTTATGACAAGGAAAATCAGAACAAATATATGTTCTAACTTCAAATAGTTAAAAGAAAGGCTGCCAACTTTGCTGATGACAATTCTACAGGAAAAAGATAATTAAGAATGGAATCCTAAACTTCTGAGCATGAGATATATCTTTCATTTGAGTAACCATTTTCTGGTATTTGAGTTATTGAGATTACCTGTTAATATAAATATACTGAGCCAAATTCTTGGAGAGGATAATAAGCGAACCAGATGCATGCTGGAAGTACCTAAAGCATAAAAAAATTGATCACATTTTACATCCGCAGTCCAGGAAGTATTCAATATATTTGAAGAAAATAACTACAATATTTCTTCAAGGAGGTAGATTACATACGATTTCTTATCTCCAAACTTCCACCATTCTGGCTCATACCAGTCCTTTCCCCTGAAAAAAAAAAAATTAACATTTCAAAAGATGAGCAGAGAACACTTGCTACATTATGTAAGCACCATCATAAAGTTTAATTGACAAAACCACGAGTGCCAAAAATCTTGACCATGCGAAAACAAATAATGAAGTATCATATTTATGAAAACAAGATATCCTTCAATCAATTTATAATCTAGAAGTTGGACATTAGAATTCATACATCCGCATGCATTTTATAACAGAAATGGAACAATAGAGGTCATACTCTTCAGCAATCACATCTCCAGATTTCATGCATCCAACGTAAGTACCATCTTGTCCACGACGATGTTCAAGAAGCTCAATTAAACCCTCTACTTGGCCAAAAACAAGTTTCAATTAATCACCAACCCGTGATAAATGAATTTCTTAGAAATAGAGATTGTTGATTAGATGATCAACCAAGATCAAGGTCAATGTTGTCTTCGACTTTCACGTAAAATTCTGCATCCCAATTTTGAACTGCTGTAATGAAAAAGAACTTGGCCTTTTTAGGCAACTCATCATCAGCTTCTTCATGACCTTCCTACAAAAAAAAGGGAACGCGTGTTGAGAATTGCCCAAGCGATCAGTGGCTCGAAGAATCACATCAAACATAAGTATGAATTAACAATTCTATATTTTGAACAACATCAATACATTAATGAGACACTCCTTAACAAACCATCGACAGATGATATTGTCAAGATTTTAGTCCGCAATGTAAACAAGTGAACATGCAGGCGCAATAATAACTTCCATGAGAACCATGTACAAAAAAGTTGAGTTGAAAGTCTTCGCTAATTCTAAGTGATTGAATAGGTGATATACGTAAGGCTAGAACTTTGATTACATACAAGTATCAAGAAGTCCTTAGTTGACTGGTTTTCCTTGTCAATGTTGCGGTCCAAGGTATCACCTCGGTTTGCACTGCCAATGCAAAATCAATAAAGTTATGACAGGACATACACAGAAAATAGCTATGAAGTATAACAATAACGAGATAAAAAACACAATGCCATCAAATGAAAAAAATGGCAGTGAAGAACATTGATATGAAAATAGAGTTGAAAGTGGAAGGAAAACCTCCGACCAATAACAAAGCGTATAGCCACCCCTCTTTCCTCCAGCTTTTTCAATGCATCACCTATAAATGCCAAAAGAAATATGATCATACATCATCAATTACATGTTCAACCCACCCATTCCTGAAAATTAAACCAGTAAATATTTCTTGGATAAATTACAAATTTAGCCCATGAACTTAGAGGCGTGTCTATTTGGTCTCTCAACCTTCAAAATTACAACTCTAGTCCTTGAGCTTTAAATTTTTTTTAAATTCACGGATCTAGACACAAAATTAAAAATTTAGAGTTCTATATTAGACATAAATTGTATATCTAATAGACCAACTAATTTTTAAAACTTGTGAAATTTATGAAGACCCTATTAAACACAAAATTGAACTATTAAAGTAATTTTATAATATTCAAATATTCTAACAGATAATACATTTCCCTATAAATACTTTATTATATCCTTAAAATAACACATTTCTGCATCACAAAGACCATAAGATTTTCGTGTTGAATCCAAGCATCACTCTCGCTCTAATCCACAAACTCAATTCAAATATTAAATTTCGAGATCTATTTATGTGAAGCATGGCTTTTCCTCTCTTTTTTATCCCCTGCTCCTGTTTAATAAACCAGGTTGAATTGCGATGATATCTATTATTACTGCCCACCTATTACAGGCCCCTACAGTAAGAGGAAGTGTTTCATTTACGAGGAAAAATGTCAAAATCAACAAAATCAGTTACAGACCATTGATACCATGGCATGCTAGATCTCATATGATTGAAGTCTAATATATGGATCACTCCCACAGACTATTAGAACCATAGATACTGTTTACTTGAACTAAATATTCCAATGGACCTTCGCTAGCTCAAAGGTAAAAAACTAATAGGTAACTAATTTTCTGATACTCTATTGAACCTCGGTCATTATAAATTTGGGATCACTGGGAGAGTTAAGTGCCATAAGACAAAAAACAGTTGTTTTAAATGAAGCTCAGCGAGTTGATTCACAGCCCCAATCAAATAATATCTAACACTCGACTGACCTTTCGGCATCCAAGAACCTCTGAACGCATTGCGCCTCAGTCGACTTCCAAATCCAGTATGAACACCGATAACAGCAAGAAGCTTACGGCTAGGTTCAGAAGAAGATCCACTTTGTCGCAGTTGATTCTTCAGGTACCCTTGACTCTTTGCTAATGTTAAATCCATCTCCACTTCCACAATCCTCCTCTCTAAATCTCTTAATAAAAGTATATAAAATTTTAATTCAATAATATGTAAAACAATTTAGATTGGTAGTTATTTTAGATACTACGTAAATAAAAACAAATTATACAAAGAAAGCGAAAAAAAATGTCCAGCCCTCACAAGAAAGACACAGAAGATCATTCGTATGAGGGAATGTTTCAAAACAAAGATTGGGTTTCACGTGAGAATCAAGAAAGGAAAATTAGGCATATACTTGCAACCCAGGACTTGCAGCTTTTCTTCAACGCTCAAAATCAAGGATCTCTGCATACAATAACATAATTTTAATGAATTAAGGGTACCACGCTAAACAATGAATGACAAAATCTCCAGATGCATGGCGAATTAAGGGCTGGACGTGGAGGAAAACGATTACATGTAGAACTAGAAATGCTAGCAATTAGCTAATATGAGTACAGTACTCTTTCAAATTTTCAATTCAATTAAAATGGCCACGAAAACTGGCAAGAATTCCAGTGTATTTCTCTCAGAATTGAGAACATACTCATAATTTAATTAATATACCTGGGACGCGTTCTTCTGTAAGAGACTAGCAAGTAATTTCCTATTTTCTGCATCCTGCCATAGCCTGAAGAAACCAGACCAAAAACAGGCGGTACAAATGAATTTATAAGCAAAAGTCAATTGAAATGCAATAGATTATCGCAATACTAACAATCATCTCTCTCACTCTCTCTCACTCTCTCCCTTTCACCCTCTCTCTTTCCCCAGGGCAGAGGGATTGGGGAATGCATTTCCGGTAGATCAAATGGTCATGCAAAAATTACAAGCGAAAAATCCAAAAATAAAAAAGGAAACAGCTAGTACGGCAACGAAGCCGGCAGCCAATGTGAAGATGAAATACATCGGCCTGATCCATAGCCAGGTCAACTTCGATTCAAGAGTGAAAACCAACCGGAAGATCCAATTCAACCTAAACAACAGTGTACTATGACTGTGCCTCAATGTTCCAGATTCAGATTCTACCGTTCAACATTATCAGGGAAGCGCAAAGAAATTGGAGAAAAAAAAAACCGAAAATGGAAGAAGCGCATACCTGCCAGCAACATAAAGCCAAGCAAGACAAGAGAAGAATGCCATAAATATAGAAGGTTTGGAGGTGTAGAGAGGCTTGGATCGAGCTCGCCTTTCGGGTTTGGCGGTGGTCGGCAAACTCTCCATCTCGTCAATCTTGTGGAGCAAGAACGAGAAGGAATCGGAGAGGGATTGGTTTAAACGCAGAGATTGTTGGTGTTCATAACACGCAGACGAATTGCCATAAAAGGGAAACAGAAACAAGGAAGGAAATCGGTAATGGAAACTAACTGCAAAACAAGGAATGAAGAAGACGAGAGTTGAGATCGAATAATGTATTTTTTAAAATTAATATTTATAAAAAAAAAAAAAAAATCACAAAATTAGCAAATTTATTTACTCTTTTCACTAATTTTTAAATAAAAATTTATAATAAGATTAAAATTGAAAACTTATATCATGACCGATTATGTATCAATAAATTTAATATTTGTTTCTCCTATGTTTATCTTTCCACGTATGCAATGAATTGTCTCTGTCTTCACTTTCACTCGAAATAGTAAGTGATGTGGCTTTTTTTTTTTTTTTAATTTAATTATTAATAAGAGAATTCAAAATAACGCTCATAAGTCTCAATTCATTAATAACATACCTAAATAAAAAGTCACCTTTAATAATTCGATAATTAATAATAGTATCATACCGTTCAATTTAATCAAATGGTAATTTTAACTTTAAACTCCTAAAAATTTTACAATTTAGTTCAAAATATCATTAAAAAAACAAATTATAATGTATCAATCTTAATATAATTAAAATGTTTAATTAGATTTTTTTTACTGTAACATTATATTTCAAAATATATAAGTTTTCACTTTAAAAATATATATAGAAAAAAAAAAATGAAATGGGAATATAATATCCGTTTCATTTTCAATTTTAGTAACAACGAAGTGAAAATACATTTTTATCCTTCTTCATTTACGGTATAAGTTTGGATAAATGGACATTTTTAAGCCTTACTATTTATCAAATAGTTTAATATTTGATTTTGCCAAAAAAAAAAAAGAAACAGAATTGACAAAATTTTACCAAAATTAAAAAACAAATAAGAGAAGGGTATTTTGGGAATTACACTAGTGCCCATGCCATACGATCCGGAGTCGACTCAAGTCGTCCCGACTGGCTTCATAAAAACTTCCACAAGCCTACTGCGACATCTTCCTCAGCCAAGGAAGAAAAAAACAGAGACAACAATGGAGGTTTTTCACCTGCCGACTACATCACCACTCCTCACTTCGATCGCTGCCGCCTCGATTCTCCTTTTTCTTCTCGTCTCCGACAATTACTCAGACCGATTCGCAACCAAATCTCCGCCTCCACTAAAATTCACGCACCTCCACCAATTTCCTCCGATTTCCGATCGATTCCAAGCCGTTCACTTGCCGGAAATCTCCGAGGAGTTGCTCGCTCATCGCCTTAATCTAGTAAGAAATCAAACACTGATTATCTTCATTGAATGAATGAATTAATGAAAGTTATTAATCAATGCATGTATGTTCTTCAGAGAAAAGCGACGAAAACGAGATTGACCAGAGACGAAAAGCTCGAACTAGGGCTCGCTCGGGCTAGGGCGGAAATTCGCCGAGCGGCGAAGGTCTCGAACTTATCGACCACCGTCGATTACGTTCCTTCTTTCGCAGTTTATCACAATCCCCGCGCTTTTTTTCAGTGAGTAAATCGGTTTTTAATCAATTTTCACTTCTAAAAAACCATATTAATAATAAATTTGCTCCTAATAATTAACATTTTTTTTGCTATAATCATAAATTAGATGATGTTTAAATATAATATATTTTATTTCTTGACGGATTGTTAAGATTTTTTTTATTTTTTATTTTTAGGAAAAGAAATTACGTGTTTACGTATTATTATTATTATTTTTTTTTATTCCCTTTGTTGGGTGTAAAAATGAGTGCCACCTGGGATACTTATGGTCAAAGCGTCTGTGGGAGGTTTTATTTACGGACTTTAGGCGTGTTAAGTGCGCACACTCGATTGCACGTTACTCAACTTGCGACAGTGAAAGCCACAGCATTTCTACTCATTACTCTCTTCTTTTTCTCTATAATTATGAATTTAATTACCTTTAGTCCACTGACTCAAAATCATCGTGTAGACTACCACTAACAAAAATTGTTCGCTTTGACTTTTCTCCAAACATTTTTAAAACACATCTATTAGGGAGAGGTTTCGACACGCTTGTAAAAAAATGTTTTATTCTCTTCTACCGCTGATGCACCCCCTTCGAGGTTCAGCGTCCTCGGTAATACTCATTTCCTTCTCTAATCGATATGGGATCTCTCAATCCATCTTCCTTCAGGCCCAGCGTTCTTGCTGGCACACCCCTTTGTGTTCACTTGGGTTCAGCCTACTCACTGACACAATGTGTCTGCCTCTTATACCATTTGTAACAGTTCAAACCCACTACTAGTAGATATTATCCGCTTTTGCTAGTTATGTATCTTATGGTTTTAAAACATGTATGTTAGGGGGAGGTTTCACCACACTTATAAGCAATAAATGCTTAGTTAGTGATCTCACAATCTACCCTTTTTATGAGGCGAATGTCCTCGTGGGACACCGACTAGTGTCTGTCTCTATACCTTTATATTAGTCTTCTCTGGACTCTTTCTTCAAAATTTTAAAACACTTCTACTAATAAGAGATTTCCATACGGGACAACGTGGAATCTCATAGATTATCATGAAACTCACGGAACATTATACAACTAATACATACAAGCTTGACGCAGAAGCCGAAGCAGGTCAGGTTGGCTTTTACAGAGCATAACTAATGATTATGGTTCAACAGGAGCTACGTGGAGATGGAGAGAAGATTCAAAGTGTACGTGTACCCGGAGGGGGATTTGCCGATAACCCACGACGGGCCGTGCAAGAACATATACACAGTGGAAGGGAGGTTCATACATGAGATGGAGCATGGGGCGAACGGGTTCAGGACGGCGGATCCGAGTGTGGCTCATGTTTTTTTTATGCCGTTCAGCGTGGCTTGGATGGTTAAGTACTTGTATGAATCTGGAAGCTTTGATCAAACGCCGCTGCGGGTGTTTGTGAGTGATTACGTGCGGGTGGTGTCAGAAAAGTACCCATTTTGGAATAAAACAACTGGGGCTGACCACTTTATTGTTTCATGCCATGATTGGGTTTGTTTCTCTTTTCTTCATTACAAAGTTACCTTACTTTTATGTTTTTTTTTTGTCCAGAAGTGTTGGAAGAGTAGTCTCACGTCTTAGATCTTAATTTCTTTTTTTGTCCGGAAGTGTTCGAAGAGTAGTCCCACGTCTTGGATCTTAATTGAGAAGTTGATCATGAGTTTATTAGTAAAAAATACATATGAGAAAATTTCAGAAACCAAAAGTATGGGCATAAGAGCATATTTTCAACTTAGTCCTGTCAATAGAATTCTTAAGTGTCTAACAAAGAGTCTTTTGTTCGAGGGCTCTAAAAAAAGAGTCAAGTTTTGATTAAGAAGAGGTTGTGTGAGGGTTCCATAGGTCTCAAAAAGGCTCTATGATTTACTTTATTAGAGGGGAGGATTGTTGAGAAAGGAGTTCCACGTTAACTAATTAAGGGGTTGATCATGAACAAATAGTGTACTTTATTTAAGAGTTCTAGAGAAGGAGTCTGAATCTCGATTAAGGAAAAACTGTTTAAGAGATTCATAGGCCTCAGGAGAGGTTCTATGATGTACTATGTTCGAGGTGAGTATTGTTGGGAGAGGAGTCCCACATCGGCTACTTAAGGAGTTGCATAAGCTCTTCCGCTCAAAGTAGATAATATTATACAATTGCGTAGATTCGTCATTTTAACACCATTTTCATTATTTTTGCTTCCCATGAATGAACAGGGTCCAATTGCAACAGAAGGAAACCCCTTCCTATACAACACATCCATCCGCGTCTTCTGTAACGCCAACTCCTCCGAAGGATTCAACCCACAAAAAGACGTCAGCTTACCGGAGATCCACCTCTACGACGGCGACATATCCCCGAAGCTACTGTCGCCGCCAGACACCCAACGTGCCCACCTAGCATTCTTCGCAGGCGGTAACCACGGTCCAATAAGACCCATAATCCTAAAGCACTGGAAAGACCGCGACAGCGACATCCGCGTGTACGAGTATCTCCCAAAGAAGCTGGACTATTACGAGCTAATGCTGAAGTCAAGATTTTGCCTGTGCCCAAGTGGGTACGAAGTGGCAAGTCCCAGAATCGTGGAGGCAATTTATGCTGAATGTGTGCCGGTGATTATTTCGGAGAAGTACGTTTTGCCATTCAGCGACGTGTTGAGATGGGAAGGGTTTTCGATTAAGGTGGGCGTGTCGGAGATTCCGAGGTTGAAGGAGATTTTGATGGGGGTGTCGGAGGCAGAGTACAGTAGGCTCAAAGAGGGTTTGAGGATTGTTCGAAAGCACTTTGTGTTGAACCGTCCGGCTAAGAGATTAGATGCTTTTCATATGATTTTGCATTCGATTTGGCTTAGGAGATTGAATGTAAGACTTGCGTAGCAATAAACTACACTTCATTGTACTTTAGGAGATTGGGATGGATGCCTTGAAAGTGTTCATTTGCATTTCAAACATTGATATATATATACTGAAAGATGTTGATAGATAATGCTAGAAATACTAAGGTTGAGATACCCCGAACGATTGGATCCCACAAATTTGGGATGTCATTTCACCGCATGCTCTTTCTTCTAACTAAATACCTGATATCAAAGCCTAACACATCTGACAGTGTACCAATAAAGATGTTGGTCCCCAAAGAGAGTGGATTGTGAGATCTCATATTGGATCATCCATCATCATGGTTGTTTTGAATATCAGAATCTGAGAATAGTTTTGTTGATTAAAGATTTGGTTGAAATAACAGGCTGGGGAAGAAAGGACACATAATTTAGCACTAAAAAAATAGTACAATGGACCCAACTTTCATTCATCGCTGCTCAAACTTTGAACGCAGGAATCAAATCTCACAGTCTCTGTCTCTGTCTCAGCCTGTTCGCTCAAGCATCATCACCTCAATATCAAGCCTAAGCAGAAGCAATATCACCCACCTGCATACACACACACCCTCACCTTACTTTTCTTCAAACCCTGTTATTACTTAAAAACAACATTATATTGTCCGCTTTGACCTGTATCACGATCAATCGAACGGTTTAAAACGCGTCTGCTAAAGATAAGTTTTCACTCTCCTCTCCAACCGATGTGAGATCTCACAATCTAACGCTTTTGCTGACACACAGCCTAGTGTCTAGCACTAATACCATGTGTAACAACTCAAGTCTACCATTCGCAGATATTGTCTATTTTAACCCGTGTTGTCGTATGCCTCACAGTTTTAAAACACGTCTGCTGAGGAGAGGTTTCCACACCCTTATAAGGAATGCTTAGTTCCTTCTCCAACCCGACGTGGGGATCTCACAATCCACCCGCTTTAAGAGGGTCAGCATCCGGTGGCTGGTTCTAATACCATTTGCAACCGTCCAAGCCCACTGCTAGTAAATAATGTCTACGAGTCTGCTAGTAAAAGGTTCTCACACTTTTATAAGAAATATTTTGTTACTCTCTTCAATCAAAGTGGGATCACACCGGGCAAAATGTAGCTTCTTGGGATTTACCTTAGAAACAAACATCCAATTGGCGTGGCTCAACAAGGATATAAAGTGGCTTTCCATTGAGCCTGCGCTGTCCCTTAACTTCGCGCAATCCAACAACACAGGCACATTCAACGACTTCAGCACCCATCCGTTCTACCAACAAAACAGAGAGATATCAAATTAATAAAATAACAATGGACCCACTCGATCATAGTTTTAAGGGAAACATAATCATGAAAGACAATCATTTTAACCAAGAAATCTAAACACTATGATTAATCCAATATTTTGGTTTCTAGTTCAGACAAAACCATGGACGACAAAAACAACCAAAGTTTTCCCACGGACTTGCTGCTTTTAAGGTTAGAATAGCAGCAAAATCCAAAAAAAAATATCACTTTTGAAAGATCGTGTTCATATGTCAAAGAATCTAAAATACCCAGAAGCTTGATTGCTGCTGATAACGTTCCACCAGTGGCCACTAAATCATCGATAACCAATGCACGTTCCCCTGCCTTCACGGCATCATTATGCATTTCTAAGCAGTCGGTTCCATACTCCAAGTCATAAGCTTCTGATATCACATCGCCTATGACATAGTAAACAATGGCTGTATGCTTCAAAAACAGCAACTTTTTGGGTAAATTTTGGAGGATTTTGCAGTGATGGAACGAACATACCTGGAAGCTTTCTGGGTTTTCGTAAAGGAACGAACTTAGCACCAATGGCTAAGGCAATCGAAGGGCCGAACATGAATCCCCTGGCTTCTACCCCTGCATTTCAGAGCATCCCACGAACAGGGGATTAGCAAATCAGAAGAAAAGGTTTAAAAGATACTCATAATTTCTTGGGAAAGCATTTTTTTAAAAGGGTATGAGATGTCGACAGCAAAGTACAAGAAGAAAGTTTTACTTTCCTTCAAAGAACATCGAATGAGGTGTTTGAAGGAAGAGAGAGAAACACTAAATTCAGTAAGATAAAGAAATTTAAAAGAAAAGAAGAAGAAATCCACAGCTCTAAAAACAGGGGAAACGAGAAAACCCACGAAAGTAGGAAGAACAAAATCTGCAGAACTTTCCATCCGCGAAAAAAGGAAAAACAGAGAACAAAGAATCCTCAGACAATGTCGGCAAGAACAAACATAAAAGAAAAAAAGACAGAGAGATGAGAAGAATACCAGCAACAACAGAGATGTTCATGCCCCTGTAACGATCGACAAAAATGTCAACAGTATCCTTAAACGCCTTATGATCCAGCAACAACGTTGTAATATCTTGAAACATGATTCCTATTAGAAAAAACCCAAATCAAAATGAATCTCAACTTCAATTTAGAACCAACCAAAACAGAGCACTCTGCTCATCCCAATCAAAAACTGTACAGAAATCATGAAAGAGAAACAGAGACAAACCAGGCTTACGGAAGTGAGGAACAACTCTAATGGCTTGAGATATCCCCTGAAGCCTGGGGTCTCCCTTAAGACCATTTTCAGCTGCAAACATTGTGTTTCTCCTTGAAAAAAGCTTGAGAAATGGTCAAAAGAACCAGAAACAGAGGTCTTTAATGGCGGTTTCCGTCGCAAGAAAAGCAGAGGAGAAGGAAGGCGGAAGAGCGGCGTTTGGAAAGGATCGCTGTTATCTAAGATGTTCGAATAATGGAGTGTCTTTTAATATATTTTGGGGCTTTTTTTTTGTTTTTTGTCCCGACCATAATACCTTACAACAGATAATTAAGTACCTCTACTCCTTATTCCACGCGCAACACCCAATTGCGTGTATTTCACTCCATTTTTATTCCGAAAAATATAATTTAAAATCTTAAAAATAAAAAAGGAAAATGTTACGTGGGTTTTTTAGTCTTTTAGGACATCAAAAGAACAAAGAATCCATCGTGAAAAGCGGAGCCCCGAGATTTTGACTACCTGATTCGGAACCCAGGGTCCGACTTTTCATAGAGCCCCGCCCCGCCCCGGTTTTTACTATTATTATCATTATTTATTTTAATAATTTCCTGATTTAACATTTTCCAAAAGCTATAAAGATTCGCTCACTTTTTTTAATTTTATTATTTTAACTTATATTTTCTAATAAAATTATTTATAATTAAACTTTGAGCGATAATGGATATTGTATGAGGCAAATTAATACCATTAAATTCATTTATTGTTGGTATCCACATGTACAAAAAAAAAAAAAATAATAGCAATAAATAAATGGGATTTGAAGGAGGTAGAACTTAACTACCAAAGATATGATGCATGCCTAAAAAAAATCTTTTAAAAACCTCCATAAATATTGATGGGATGTATCATCAACCACAAATTTAAATTTAACTTCAAAATATCATAATTACGGATACATGTTCGAATAGGTTTTAAATAAAATAGATGACATATATCCGTGGGAGAGAGAAACAAAATATTTTTTATAAGAATGTGAATTTTTTTTTTTACGAATAGCACTTGTATGAAAAATATAAAGAGGATATTATGTATTAGTGGTGAGGGTGAATCATTAAAAAACGATGTATTTAGTCAAGCAAGTATATATTCACGAGAATATATAGAATAATGACTAAAATCACAGCATAATCTACAAAAATCATTAGTATTTGAACTGAACGAGTAAACTCAATAATAGAGGGTGAGGGAAAGTAATAGTAAACTTTATAGGTACATGTTTTTTTTTTTTTTTTTAGTGATATGGATCTTCAATCATGCGCAGTCATAATTGACTCAACATATGACCACATCACGTAAAGATTTTGTGTAATCTTCACAAACTCTTTAACCGATCTAAGCTTGAACAAAGTCAACTTTCTCATAGTGATCACCCCGCTAAGATTGAGTGATATACAAACCAAAAGACATATTTTATCGTGCAATTTGAAACAAAAAAGCAGAGTTGTATGAATTAATCTCACCTAAATGTCCATTCAAAATTGAAATAAAGTTAGTGAGAAAATAAATGTCCATAAAGAGGCATGGGGTTTGTAAGGGCCACGCGTGGGAATGGGAAGTGGGAAAAAAAGGACACACCTTTTTAAACACAGTTTGAGTGAATCTGAGCTGCTAAGGCTGATGGTGAACCAACGTTGTTAACCCACAAAAAGTTTTTTAAGAATCCTATGTTTTTGTTTTATATCCATAATATTCTTCGACAGTGAGATTCCATATCAATTAGAGAGATGAAACGAATGTCAACGAGAACGCTAAACTTCTTATAAGAGTCGAGAGAGAACAATATCGATTAGTGATAAACTTGAATTCTTACCGAGAGGCTCTCAACCATGAATCATCATGACTACTAACATACGACCAAGTTCATTGCATGAGTGAGTTTGATATCATTAATGATGACGAGAGTATCCGATTAATCCATGATATGGATATGGAGTTGTAAAGTTATTCTTTTGTGGGTATAAAGCCTATTGTGAGTTTGCTTTTAAAAACATTATTGGAAAACACACAATCTTTTATCATAATTTTGTGTCCAAGTAATTAATTCCCTCCTTGCTTCTTTCCTTTTCGTAACATTTATTTATTTATTTATTATTATTAACATTTATTTTATAAGAGAATTAAAAATGAAATAAAAAAGAGGTGAAACCGTGAAAGAAAGTAATGAATGGGTTCCTTCCAAAATTGCCGATAGAATTTGGGGGAAGGGGGGGTTGACAGAGAATCAAGTGGCAGTAGATTTTCAGAGATTTGGAGGGTGGTCCCCGGAAAGGTGGTCCCATCATAGTGAAGACAACGTGGCAGCTCGGAATCTGATCACACCGTACACGTAGCATGATGGAAAAGACCTAAGCCCCCAACCTCCACAGTGTCATTTATTTCATTTATGACTTTTGTCTTCTCCTGCAATTTCCCCATTGACCAACCAACCAACCAACCAACCAACCAACCATTTCTTCTTCTTCTTTTTTATTTATTAAAAAAAAAAAAAGAAGAAAGACACAGTGGGGCCCACCCCGCCTAGATACGCCTGACGTCATCTCTTACCATCTTCCAGATTCATAATAGCCAAATCACACTATTATACCCGGCACGTGCCTCCCACGCCCCCTCCCTCTTTCTTTATTCATTCCCAATACTCAATTTATTTTTTATTTACCATAAATAATATTCAATATGAATATATATATAATTTGAAACTTTTGGTGACAGTCCAAGTATCAAATCATATATAAAGCTTTTTATATTAAATGTGTTATATTCAGTTTTGTCTATATTATATACTTCCTTTTCCATTTCAATAACAACCTTGTTTTTATTTTATATTTTTAAATTTTGTCTCCATCTATATAAAAAAAAAATAATAATAATTTAAATCAGATTTTTCCCAATATTATATTTACAAATGGGCGTGAAATAAAAAACAAAATCCCTTGCTTATTTATAAAATTAAAAAAACAATAATATAACTTTTTTTTCAATCAGTGAAACAAAAAATGAGAATTTATTTATTTTAAATAATAAAAAAAAAAAGAAAAATGTACAGAAAAAGAACTGTAGAAGGGCACGCGAGAGGGTACTAACACAGAAACATGATAACATGATCATTAAAGACCAGCTTTCACATCTCTCAGATTACAATATCCCGTTTATTTTCAACCCTCCAGATTTCCTCCAACTCCTTTTTGGCTTCCATCCTGACCGTCCATTTTCATCCTCCCTTTTCCCACAAGTCAAACACCTTTTTACCTTTGGTAAATAAACTAAACAATAAATTTCACCCACACGGCCGTCTTTTTTTTCCTTTTAATTCTTTCTTTCACCTCTTTCACATCACACCCTTGCACGTGAATCCAATCATAATAAAATTTTAATCCAATTAAGATTCAAATAATGGTAACTAATAATTCATAATAATTCTCTAAAATAAATAAAAAAAAACAATAAAGTAAGATTGTCACCCATTGTTGACCCTATGAACAACTCAACTAATAAATAAGAGTAGTGGCGTAGCGAAAATGATGATCCTTATTAACCTACAAAAAGATTATATTTTGTGGGCTCCACCTTCCGTGTTCAAATTTATAAATTATGTAACTAAAATAATAATAAATTAATTAATGTCGATTTCATTATAGGAACTGAATCGTATAATTTTTTTAAATGGAAGGTGGAGAGGTGATGAAAGAAATTAAAAAGGAAAAATGATGAGTGGATATGTTTAGAGAGTCACATCTAAGAAACCTAACTCGAACTAATAATTTAAGCGAACTTTATAGCTTATGATGGCCAACATTTACATACTTTTTATTTTAAAATTTAAATTATTATTATTATTATTTTCTTTTTTGGTAAAGAATAAGTTAAAAATAAATAAATCTTTGTTATAGATTTTCCACTATATAATAATTGAGCTGTTTGATTGAATCTCTAAAGCTTTAGAGGAAAAGGAAAAAGGAGAAGGGACCTTTTATTTTTCTTAGCTGTTGCCCATCATCTTTTTTTCGTTCTTTATTATTATTATTATTTTGTGTATTATTTAAATACAAAAGCCTTCCAACTTTTAAGCTACTGATTTAAATGGGCTGGGCTGGGCTGTCGTAGCTTTACAAAGCCCATTAACTGAACTATATGGGCCTCGATATCGGCCCAATTTCAGGTTGGTTATTTTATCCTATTATTAATAAATAAATGAAAATTTTCATGTAAACACAATGATAAAAAATCATAACTCCGCCCTGGTCGCCCACATGACGGCCGCAGCATGAACTTGCCGAGCGGGGAGAAGTAGATTTTGTCGAGAGCTAGCCTAACCGATCTGTTCGGCGAGGGGAGAGAGACTTCATGGAAGATTTCTGAGAATTGATGGGATTAGGGTTAGGGTTAGGGTTAGGGTTTCGGGGACGGAGAATTTGGGGGTTTTGATGGAAATGGAAAGGGGAAGGGAGGAGGCCATGATTACACTCGCCATAGCGGTTAGGAGGTTTGAGTAAGAGGATGACAATGGCGGATCTGATCTGATGGAAGATCGAGAAATGGGGCGATCGGAGTTTCTATCGACGACATTCTACACGCTACACAAAATTTGTAGAACAGATTGGGATTTTTATCGCACGTGGCATGCGCGTGCCTTGAGCTATTGGGCCCAACTTGGGCCTGTCTAAGGTATGGGCTTTTTATTTTCCCACGCTAATTAATCATGGCCCAATTCATAACTAAGATAGGGAAGGTAGGCCCGAATGAGAATATTGCAGCGGCAGGGGAGGGTAGAGAAGACAGTGATTTGATCTCATATTGGGTCGGAAGCCGTGGCGTGGGGCTATGGCGGAGTTAGAACTCCAAACCTACCAACCAAAAACAAAAAAACCCCTTGTGAATGAGTCTATGCTTACCCAATGGTGTTCACGTGGACTTCAAAAGCGTGGGTCTTCTTTCCTCTTTTGTCTTTTATTTCTGCCACGTGACACATCATCCCTTGACGTGTCCTCCTTATCATCTCCCATTTGCATCTTCAAATTCATGTACTTCTTCCTAATATAGTCATTTTTGAGGTAGGCCGTTGCAGAATAGGGAATTTGTACTGCCACAACAAGTATCGAACTAGGATTCTTTCCTTCATTCAATTTCACACCACCCCTGTTTGCTTTTCTTGTTTTCTTTCTTATATTTCCAATGCCCTTCGTTTTACTCCTCCATCAACCTAGAATCTCACACCATTTATTCTTTTCTCCCTTTGAAGTCGACCCATCAATCCATCTCCCTCCATATCCATATCTTGATGTCTGTTTGTGAGAGATTTTTACACTCTCCTACCGACTATTCTGTGATGTCCCACATTAAAAATACCCTTTATCAGGGAGTGGAAATAAGGGGTATGTCACATTAGATGAGCAGAGACAGGCAGGTCCAACCGCACACGCCCCGCGGCCCCTGTCTATCACATTTGCCATCCTTTTTCCTGTCTTGGAATGATAAGCCAAAGGATGATGACGATTCTCCCCACCCCGGAGGAACACACTTTTCCACCATTCAAAAGTCAGTCCAAACTAATACAACTCTTATGATACTTTTAAATTGCTGTTATTAATTATGTCACAATTTCATATGATGTAGAGAAGATGATGAGAAGAACCCATCAGTGGGGTGGCCACCGATTGAGACATGGAGGAAGAAGGCGCTTCTCCAGCACCCTCAACCGCCGCTGGAGAATCGCAGTAACCAAAATGGCGGACCAAATTCATTGTTCGTGAAAGTGAAGATGGAGGGGGTAGCAATAGCAAGGAAACTCGATCTAAGGCTCTATCACTCTCATAACTCCCTCAAAACTGCCCTTATCGCCATGTTCACCGCATCTAATTGTAAATTATCTACTTTTTCACATTCATTCCATCAACCCCACCAGAAAAATCATAGTATTTATCCATAAATTTGAATTCTTTCTGTAACAGATGAGGCAATTGATAACAAGTGTTGGGATTTTACTCTGATCTATGAAGACGAAGATGGGGACTGGCTTCTTGCAGAGGATCTTCCATGGAAGTCCGTTTCCATTCACTCTCTTTTTCAGGGGAAAAAGACATCAAATGGCTAAATTCTAATTTATTCTCTCTGATGTTTGCTTTGTTTTTTGCCGCAGCTCCTTCGTCGAGTCTGTACGGCGCCTCAAGGTTCTGGTTCGAAAAAGAAACAAAGAATAAAGTTTGCATGTACGACGCAAATTATTTCCGAATCATATTCCACATGTAATCACATATAATATATATTAATAGCATCAATTGTTTAGAAATATTGTCGTTACTACACAAATGTGGAGCTATGTGGTCGAAATTATTGTATAAAAAGTTATTTGGGATTTGAGAACCATTATTTTCTTCTTAGTTTTTTTCTTCCAAATATCGAATTTAAAAGATGGACAAATTTAAGATTAACGAGGGTCAAAATTCATTGTCTATTTTGATCTTTTAACGCTGTCAATTTCACAATTTTAAAGTGTTTATATTGGAGAGAGGTTTCTACACTTTTTTCCAGAGCCAGACACCAGGTGGTATGCGAGTGACACTCTTTTTCTTCTCCAATCGATGTGACCTAATGGTACAGAGCCAAACATCAGGCTGTATGCTAGTGACACTCTTTCCCTTCTCCAATCGATGTGACTTAATGGTCTAAAGCTAGACACCAGACGATATGCTAGTGAGGACACTGGCTCCTAAAAAAGGTAGATTGAGCTAGACACCAGGCAGTATGCTAGTGAAGACGTTGACCCCTAAAGGAGGTGGATTGAATTAGACACTAGGTAGTATGCTAGTGAGAATGCTAGCCTCTAAAGGAGGTGAATTGTGAGATTTTCAAACACCATGTAGTATGCTAGTGAGGATGCTGGCTCCTAAAAGAGGTGGATTGAGTTAGACACTAGATAGTATGCTAGTGAGGATGCTGGCTTCTGACAGAGGTGGATTGAGGCAGAGACCAAGTAATATGGGACGTTGGCCCCTGAAGGAGGTGGATGAGGACGATAGCCCCTGAAGGAGGTGGATTGAGCTAGACACCAGGCAGTATGCTAGCGAGGACGCTAGCCTCTAAAGGAGATGGATTGTGAAGCTAACGTAAAATGTCTGATGGCAATACATTACAAGTGAATGCTAGACGTGAGGTTAAAAGTCGGCTAAGATAGAGTATAGATATGAAATTTATTCTTCAAAACTCAAAAACAAGTAATTTTTTAAATATTTGTTAACCTTTAATTTTCTTTAGAACATAAAATTTGATACGCAATTGAAGTTGAAGTATTATATTACTTAAAACATTTGAAATTTTGAAATATCGGCCATGAGCCTATCTCACTCCAGCTCTCTTCGCTTCACTTTTCCTCGTACATGTCTGTCTATTCCTCTGTTTCAACCGACAAGACATTTGAATAATATACAATAAGCTTTATGTAACCCTGTGTTTCTCTGTATTACACTTTCATCAATCTCTTAATATGAAGTCCATGGATATGTTCATCAATGGCTGGAGCGACTCCGCCGAGAATTTCCTTGCAAACAAGAACGGGTGCTCCCCCTGAGATTTTGCCACCGGCCAATTCCGGCCGCCGCCTCTTTTCCTACTTTTCATTCTTATTCTCATTCCACCGTCACCGTATCTCGGCCGGGCGATTCTCAATTCGCGTATCAGGTCTTGTCCCACCTCAGATGCCTCGTAGGTACGGGGGTGGCCGTCTAAGCTCCCGTTCCAGTCCACGTGTGTAAGTGTGGCCGGCACAACCCCTCTCCGATCCCACATGTTGAGTAAGGTCGGGAAATAGTTCTCCTCCGGGTAACATATGTACCACCGTACGCAGGGCAGCTTGAATTTCGACCAAACCCTCTGATCTCTCACCACTAACCGCGCGTGCCGCCGTGTCAGGACCCAAAACTGCGACCCAATTCGAAAATCCGCCAATTGAACCACCGGAAGCATCACGTCCGGGCCACGTACCGCCCACCTGTCAAACGCGCCGATTTCGTTTCTGAGAATCTCGATGAAGCTCTTCTTGGAGCGAATTAGCGTTCTGTAAGTGAAATTGAAGGAATGAAGAGGAATGCAGGAAGGGGAGAGAAGGGCAAACATGGAATTAGCAGAATCATGAAGCAGAGCATGAGCGAGAAGGCGGCGGGCAGCGGCGGCGAGAGAAGGGGAAAATCTCTTAGTGGGTTTGGAGGGGATAACCCGGTGGGCGAATACGCCGGAGAAAGGAGGGTCATATTCCCCGGCGGGATCGGCGTGGATATAGACATTAAAAAGATCGGGTGGAACGTTTTCAAAGAACAATTCCCAAAGAGGAGCAAAAGGGAGAGGGGAATTTGTGAGAAACATGAAGGCCAATTTGTGAGTCGGCGATGGGGTAGCGTTGACACCGGCGGCAAGTGGGAAGAGAAAATCGTCATCCTCCGGCGGAAGTTTGGGAGATTGTAATGGCAAAACAAAAGAGTGATCGGAGGAGTGGCCGGAATCAATGGTGGTGAGGCTGTTAATGGTAAAGAGAATGGCTAAAGGTAGGCAAAGAAGCACAATGATGAAAGAAAGTGGGTTAGGGAACAGCATGGCTTTCAGAGTCCGCCGGTATCCCAGAATCCCAGCGCCGCACAGAGAAGACAGAGCCGCCCTTTGCAGAGGAAATATGAAGTGGAGCCGTTGAAACTAGCGAGGAGGTTAGATCTGGGTCATCGACATTACAGAATGGACGGCCAGGATTGAGGCAGAACCGACACGCTTCGGTTTCAAAATCCAATTACCCGTTTATGGGGGCTGTCAGACACGGATTAAAATAAAATAAACGGGTTTATATTTCTCAACAAATCTCATATTTAATAATTCATTTAATTAAAAAACCTTTCATTAAAATGTATAATTTTTAATTAATATGAGATTTAATTGACATAAAATTTCCTTTTCAACGGAAAATAAAAACAAGGGAAAGTTGGTCCACGGAAAAAGAGGCGAGTGCTGGAGAACACGTGGCAAGCATGCAGAAGAAGTGATCGGACGGATAAGGGTGAGTCAGGATAAAGTATAATGGGAACGCATGATTGGTTAAAAGAGTTGCCGTGTTGTTCTAATACCATTTATAACGCAGATGGCAGGTAGATATTGCCTATATTATCTTATTACATATCATAATTAACATGTTTGCTAGAGAGATTTTCACACTCTTATAAAAAAATATTTTGTTTCCCACATCACTGTTAGGAGATATCACAATATCTACGGCTTAAACGGTTAAAAACGGACTAATATTCTTTGTTTTAATACAAAATAATATTAATTTAGTAATATCTGAAAATTAGAATTAAAGAATACTAAAATTATTATAAAAGTAAATAGCAATAATTATGGGAATTGACTTATACCAACAATCAATTGCAGCATTAAAGGGAAGAGACAGCAATAATTTATTTATAATGGTTTTAAGCGTTAGAAAATACAAAATTAATAATCTTAACAAAAAAAAAATAAACATAGTTGAAAATTTGATTAAGACAATCATTTCCATTAAGAAAAAAAAAATATATAAATGAAAAAAGGAGAGTAAATGACATGAAAGCAGAAGAAAAAGGTAGGTGTTAGGGAGAGCAGCAGAAGGAAGGGAAGGATAAGAATGGAAAAATGTGTAAATAGTTGTTTGGAAGTTTGTGAAAAATGGAGTTATGGTGGACATTTGTTGCGAAATGGGATTGAGGTTGGGGCTGGTTTGGGCCACCGACGGTGACATTATCATCAGATTTCCCCCCCTATGCCTACATGAATGGTCCGGACTCTCACAAGAACCCCAAACAGAGAAATAAAAAATTATAAAAAAAGACTGATGGGGCTTGCGGAAGGAGGCATGTGGATGAGTGGGGGACACACCAAACTCATCACTTTTATACAAAAAACCCTTCCTTTCAAATAATTGTCACACTTTGGTGAAGAACAAGACCAAGAACAGGAAGAACAGGAGGAAGAACAGGGAATCAATCAATTTTCAGTACCATTTCCCTGCTTTTCTTCTGCATTTTTGTTGGGGGATCTTCTGTGTTGTCGTGTTGAAGATATGCCAAGACCAGGTCCAAGGCCTTATGAGTGTGTGAGAAGGGCTTGGCACAGCGATAGGCACCAACCCATCAGAGGTTCTCTGATTCAAGAGATTTTCAGGTCTGCCCTGGTTACCTTATTCCGCTTCTTCTCATCATTTTTGCTTGAATCTCTGTTGGGTTGTTTCTGATCTGTGTATGTTAGGGTTGTGCATGAGATTCATAATTCCTCCACTAAGAAGAACAAAGAATGGCAAGAAATCCTTCCTGTTGTTGTTCTCAAAACTGAAGAAATTCTCTACTCCAAGGCCACTTCTGAGGTTTTCTCCTTCTCTATTACCCTCTATAGTCCATGATCTTTGCTTAACCTTACTTCCACCCCCCCCTGGATAGGCTGAATATATGGATTTTAGTACACTTCGGGACCGCTTAATGGACGCCATTAATACCATTATACGCCTTGATGAGAGTACAGAGACTGGAGACTTCCTTCACCCATGCATTGAAGGTACTTGAAATGTTCCTTCTTTGGTCCCCCTTTGAATCCTCTTTTTTGGGGTTTTGTTTTGATCCCTTCTGTTAAATTTCATTTCCCTTTCAGCTGCTCTCAATTTAGGCTGCACACCCAGAAAAGCTTCAAGGAGCCAACGCAATAATATCTGTACAAACTATCTCAGTTTTAGGAATCAGGACTCTCCCACCTTGTCTCCTCCTCCAATGACAGTGAGGAATTCTCCTTGTGTCCCTTATTTTTGGAGTTTGGCTAAACCTGTGGCCAATGATTTAGGCCATTCAGGGTTTAGATTCCAATGCCTTCTTCCTGCTCATACTTCCACCACTCAAAAATTCCCTGCTTTGTTAACTCCACATGGTTTGATGGAAAATGCTCTTCCATCCACCAAATTCTCTGTTTATCCACTATATTATGGCAATGGTGTTCGGGAACGACAACATTCTGGTATCGAAATCGCTCCGATTTCTATGCCTGTTATGGAGAAAACTAGTGCCTCTGGGAGCCCATGTGATGATAAATGTGATCTAGCATTGCGATTGGGTCCTCTCGCAACGTCAAGCTCGAGCTATGGAAACAAAACTCCGCTTCGTGTTCTTGGTTCGGGTAGTTCATCGGAGGATTGTTCCCCAGTGATGGAAAGGAAGGTTCCCTTGATTCCAATGGTAAATTCATATGGCTTATCTGAGCACAATACATTCGGGCGAAATCTTGAAGATGAATGTTTCGATGCAGAAATGAGGATGAGAAAACGAAAGGCAGATTGTAGTCATTCATTGAATTGGCTCCCAAAGCTTCCCTCCAGTAGGTTCATAGGGTGAATGTTAAGAAACAACAGAATTATAGACGAAAGAAAGGTCGAACAGACGAGTTCCTCTGACACAAATCGTCCACGAGCGGACGAGTTCATCTAAAGAAGCAACTGGGTGAGGTTACTGTCTGTGGAAATGGGGGACAGAGAGGCATTGAGGCAACAAGCTGATATATCATATGCTTTGGTTCTGTGGGTCCTTTTTTTTCTTCTTCTTTTTTTTTTTTTTTTTTTTTTTTTTTTTTTTTTTTTTTTTTTTTTTTTTTTTTTTTTTTTTTCCTTTTGCTTTATCATCTTTGTTCTTTTTGGGAAAGGGCTGAATGAATTGATCATTGAATGTCTGGATGGAAGTCTCTGCGTTCAACTTTTAATGAGTGGTGACATTAGTTCTCTGTGGGGTCTCATATAGATAATTCTTGTTTTATCCATTGTTAAGGTACACAAAGCTTGATGCTTTTGGTTAAACTTGCTTTTTCATATCAGGAAGTTGCTTAGAGAAACAGAGATTCAAACAGATTTCATCAACATGATGATGCTATGAGTCATTTTCCATTACATGCCTCATTCTTCCCCTTTCCCACCCGTCATTATTCCGCACTTTTTGCTTGTAACCGTCCGTTGCTAGTAGATATTGTCCGTTTTGGACTTTCTCTCAACGGAGAGGTTTTCACACCCTCATAAGGAATGCTTTGTACCTCTCTTTAAGTGGGATCTCAATATCCATCTCCCTTGGAAACCATCGTCCTTGTTGGCACACCGCTTAGTGTATGACTTTGATACCATTTCTAACCGCTCAAGCCCAGCGTTAGCTACTATAAAGTCCATCGTTAGCTAGTAGTTATTGTTATCTTTGGGCTATCCCTTCTAAGCTTCCATACTCTTATAAGAAATGAATAACCCAAAGAAAGCAAGGTGAATAGGAGTTTTATTTATTTGCATAATGAGCGAAGCGAAATCTGGGAGAAGCTTTACACTGTATCTTAAAAAAGGATTGGAGTTTTGGGGTTCTGAATTATGATACAAAGTCTTGATCAGAGAAAATAGAGCAAGGGGAAGTTGACAAGGATGAAACAACAGGGCTACTAAAATGGAAGTCAATCTGCAGCCTCTGATGGGGTATAAAACTACAGCTACTCTGCTTCTTCTGCTCTTCTTCCAGCTCTTCAATGGTTATGGCCGCAAGAAACCTTTCAAAAAACTCTCTGCAGCACTCTTTTCCCTTGCAAACCAATTCCCCAACCTCTCCTTCCTCTTTGCTCTCGTACATCAAACTCGAGCTATCAAACTTCAAGATGTAGGCTTGATTACACCCCTCGAACAGTCGTTCCCCCAGCGAATCAACAATGTAACAAGCATCCTCTTCCATCTTCAACACGAAGAAATGATCGTTCCAACTCACGATGTAAACTCTCGTTTCGTAATTTGGACAAGTTTTAGTATTGACCAAATTCCATATTTGCTCGAACGACATTGCTTCCGACAAGCAGTTGAATTTCTCCGGGCTGAAGAACCCCACGAATGAATTTTCAGCTGAAACAGTGATCGGTCGGACATCGGCTTCCATAACGGTCTCGAGGTCGAAATGCTTGTTGGGAAAGGAGTTTGAGTAACAGTGGTTATTGCAAAGCTTTTGCCATTCGGATGAACCTTCCATTATGAGGTTGTCGAGTTCCGGTCGTGTTGGCATCGCACCGTAATTCGAGTGCAGCCAGTGGGTGATCACGGCGACTATCGCCGTGCAGGCGCTCTCACCACCCGCCTTCTCACTCCGCTGGTCAAACGAGCCAAAGAACACCTCTGTCTTCAGCTTTGCCTTGCCATCTCTACTAACTATTTCTTTAGTTTCCCACCTCCCTCTGCTGTCTTCTTTATTTTGTTCATCAATTTCCAAAGAAATCTCTGTGCTTTCTCCTTTCTCCTATTATTTTTATATAATTCAAAGACATTAATGTTTATATAATCAAATGAATATTATACTTTAATTGATGACATTATTGATAACGGTCTCTATAATATTACAGTTGAACAGGTCAACGGATCAGAATAACTCTTCCTTACGGTTTCAGAGTCAAATAAGGAAAAACAGAGTTTTATTTCCAAAGAGCATACCGTTTGAGAAGTGGTTGAAATGGGGGCGGTGGGCTCGGTGTCGTGTTGCTGTCGGTCAACGGAAACTCCGTCGTTGACCGCCGTGTTGGTTTTCTCCGACCACGGCTCGACTTTCCCCTTAGAATATCTAAAGCTGAAACTCAGCCGCCTCTTCTTGGACAACAATTTCCCCAGCTGCTTTTGATCGCCTCCATCTTCCTCCTTTGGATCCCCCAAAGCTCTGTTTTGACCGTCCGATGAAATCGCTTTACCCTTGTCTCTGTTCTTCTTCCTGAAGCTGGTTAGATCTTTCAACGCTTTCAAAAAGCCCTCCTTGTCCTGTTGCTGAATCGTGTCCGAATCATCCCTGACCTCCACAAAATTCACACGCACCTTCAAATCCAATAACCCATCAAAAACCCATAAATTAAAATCTCGAAAATTTCTTCAAAACAACAACGAAATTCGATTAAAGTTCTTACAGAAAGCGTAACTTGATGTGGAGCATCCTTCAACATAATCGGAACATTTCGCTCCACTTTCGTCTCCATTTCCAAAAGCATTTTCGCTAAATTCAGCGACGCCTTCCCTAAAACAGAGAATTTCGTCTTGGATTTTGTGGATTCTTCCTGTAATAATTCATGAATCAATAAATTTCAAAAAACATGGATGAAAAGGAAGAAAAGTGATGATAAACGTACGAGTAAGACGTAGAATTTGGTGTCCCAGGAGGCAGTGGAAGAGTCATCGGCGAACTCAAATTCACAAATGCTGAGGAATTCGTGATCCCATTGGAGGGTTTGGATTAGGGGTCGTTGGGCGGTGGTGCGGTCGGTTTGGAGAGGGGATTTTCCGTAGAAAGGAACGGATAAAATGGAATGTCTCTGGGGACCTTTCCATTTGATTTCAATGGCGATTGCTTCCTTTTCATTACCGAATCCATGGAGCTTCAAATCTCCCAATTTGACCTGGAATTTCTTCATTTTCGCCATTGATAACGTGAGGAAGAAAAAGGAGGAGGAAGGGAGGCGTATTATGAAGAGTGGGTCAGTGACAGGCTGACAGGTTTTTTTAATTTGTTTGGGGGAACAAGTCCAGCCCGCGTTTCCGTGTAAACCAAAAGCCTTTTTTCGGGATTAAATATTTCTTTTTTTTTTTTTTTCTTTTTTCTTTACTGTTTAATTGAAGGAAAATTTTCCCAATATCAATTTTCAAACGATTAAAAAAAATATTTATCGATATTAAATAAAAAAAAATTGGATATAAGTTGCGTCGTTATAGCTTTACATTTCAAACCGTGATCCTAAAGGATGGACGTAATTAACACCGAAGTTTCTCTCTTAAAAAATGATATTTAGAATATAAATTTTGTCAAATCTATCTTAAAATATATTAAATAATTAAAATGATAAAAATTATATCATGTCAGCGACATTTAATATATATATATATATATATTTAACAAGAAGAAGTTTGCCAATTTATTTTAATTCTTTTAAATTAATTAATTTTAATAAAACAAATAGGTTTTGACTAATGCGACAAACACTATAAAAAATGTAGATTTAATGATAAAAATTCTATAATTTTTATTAACTTCTTATCATAACCTTTCAATTAATAGCTTTATATAGGGATGTTAAATTCATTAAATGCAACCTTATAAATTCCAGAGATAAAACGATAATTTGACCAATAAAAGCAACTGCCTCGTTTTCTCTCTCATTTTTAGCCACGTCAGAAGTCGGTGCATCATACCACCAATCTGTGAGCGACACGTCATAAAAAACAATAAAATGGTACGAAAACGCGGCCGAATTTTTTATTATTATTATTTTCCGATGAAAAGCGCGGGAAATGAGATATTATACGTAAATGACAAATCGGTCGTATGTTGTAAGAAGAAACAGTTACGGTCTTATCTATTATGGTCGGATATTTGTGAAACTTTAATTTATTTTATTTAAAATTATTTTAAATATTTATATATCGTAGATAAATAATTTTAAAAAAAAATTAATTCTCAATTCAATCCAACTCGAACTCTTCACGATGATAAAGCAAGCTTAACACCTCTAGTTCTTATTACTTTTCAATATTTAGAAAGAAAAAAAAACCTGTCACATCTTCTTAATCCGAAATGGCAAATGGTTGGGAAGAGAAAAAGTTCCTTTTTTTAGGGTAACCCTAGGAATAGACCTAGTGGAGACAGGGTGGGGTCTGTAGCTCAGAGGATTAGAGCACGTGGCTACGAACCACTGAGTTATATCCCTTCCCTTGCCCCCATCGAGAAATAGAACTGACTAATTCTAAGGCAAAGGGACGAGAAACTCAACGCCACTATTCTTGAACAACTTGGAATTGAGCCTTCCTTCTTTTCGCACTATTACGAAAATGAAAATGTGAGCAAAATTGGATTGAATTGTCAACTACTCCTATCGTATATAGGATTGACGAAAAAAAATGATATCTAGTTTTATCCAATGAACCTGAGTTCAAATAAGTTGAGTGAGTTGGGTCTGTTCATGTTAACAACGGTTCTAAATATCAGATGCTGCAATTTTATTTGGATAACAAAATAAAAATACAAAGCAGATTCTTATATAAACATAATATTGGATACGAAACTTACAAGTTACATCACAAAGAATTAGGTGGATCTGTGAGTCATTACATACAACTTAGTTGCAAAAGGCAGAGTTCCTTTAAAAATAAATTTGGTGCCTGAAAAACGAAGGCCTGGTACGAACTAAAAAAAACAATCCCTTGCGAACAAGAAGATTGTGGTGGCAGACTTGTATAACCCGTTGCCAGGACCAAGGCACCAAATATAAAAGCAACCAGGAAGATGATTTGACCAGGCGATCCATAAGCCCCACCCCTTTGAGCAAAACACAAATTCAAACGTAACTGCAAGAAACCGAGGCGTGGCTCGGGTAACACAGAACCTAATAACCTCGAACCAGAAACCGGGAAACTCAGGGAAGGCTGGTCATCAATCAAAGTGTGAGGCATCTCATGTGAGAGCCTAAACACTGAAAAAAAACAGACCCCATTTAAGGGAGATCTGTAAAAAAGGAGAGATTGACCATATTCCCTGGAAAATCGACCCGAGGTCATTAGATGACGAAGACCCATACCCATGGACCCAAAAACTACAGTCTACTTATACCAGCTCCTGCTCAGTAGAGGATGTTGCATCGATGGAGCTGAGCCAAAAGGAGCTCCATACTCGTGGTGCTGATTGAGTTGCAGTGTTTAAGATTCAAACCGAGGAGGGAGTCGCCCAGTTTTACAAGAGCAAGCAAGCTCTTGTCAGTTAAGGCAGAACATCCAAACATAGAAAGGATCTGCAGGTTGAACTGGTTGGCTTGAGCAAGTGCTGCAACTCCAAAATCAGTGATACGACACTTGGAAACGTTGAGATCATTGAGCAATGGACAGTTCTCTGCAATGGCCACTAAGCTTGAATCAGTTATCTTCAAACAACCATCAAGATTGAGCAATTCAAGAGTCCAACCATGAAGCTTGGTCAAGGATGTAATCACTTTATCGGTTAAATTCATACAGCCACTTAGATTGACCTTCACCAATCCTGCTTCACAGTTCTTAAACAATGGCAGTAGCCCAGAATCTGTAATACCATTGAGCCCAGATAAATCCACATGCTGAAGCTGGGGGCATAGCTTGCTCAGAAGAGATAAGCTTGCATTACCAAACCCAGGGCAATTGGAGATGGATAATGACTGAAGCGACTTGCACGAGGACGCTGAAGGCAAGTTCAGGCTCGAATCCTTGATCCCTAAGCAGTGTACTAGAGAAAGAGCCTTTAACTTTGCACCACAGTTTAAGATGGTACCAAATAAACCCAACTGGGTTATCCTGTGACACTCCTCCAATTGTAAGTTCTTAATGGAGGTAGCAGCCTGAGCGAAAGAGATCATTCCCTTGTCGGACAAGAACGAACATTTTCGCAAGCAGAACTTCCTTAAGTTCGGGCATCCCTTCCCAATGGATTGTAGCCCGACATCGGTCACACCATGGCAAGACACGAGTGTAAATGATTGCAACTTTTGCAAACCATGACCATTGCCCATGGCCCAAAATCCCCTCTCAGTAACATTTGTCAGGCCAGTAAGCATAAGGTCTGTAACTGCCCTGCCGTAATGTCCGATGACAGCAAGCGACACGTCAGTGACATTTAGACTCTGGAGCTTCACCTTGCTTAAGGTGTACGAGGTGGACGAGAACAAGCTCACTATTCCTTGATCCCCAATAAGGGGGCAGTCTCGGATCGAAATAGACTTCAAATTGGAACAATATTGTCCAATAGCTTGAAGGCTTTCATTGCCAATGTTTGCACAAGATTCTATTGTTATATCAGTCAGATTCGGGCAGTTTTTGGCAAGTTCCAGCAAAGCTTTGTTTGAAATTCCAGGACATTGACATAAATCGAGCTTCTCTAGGAGTCGACATCCCTTGGCAATCTCAATCAGACCTTCATCTCCTGTAGAAGACAGATTCCACAAAGAAATAGCTTTAAGGGAAGGACATCCATAGGCAACAGCCTTAAGGCCAACGTTTGTAACCTCACAGCCATGATTGCCTCCACGAATCGAAAGCTTGCCCAAGCCACCACAACTAGCAGTTCCTACTGCTATGGAAGCTAGTCTTACATCTGTTGCCTTCTTCCCTTCCAAGTTTCGTGAAAGACATCCATCATTCTCTGCCTCGTTCTTAGGCTTCGAACTATGAAATTCATTACCACTTATGCTGCTTAAAAGCATGAGCCAACGTTTAGAAACGCAAGCACAGAGGCTCCTCGTCTCTCTATCAGGCAAGCGCCTGAAGATTTCAAAGAGGCACTCATCTGGAAGAACTTCAATAGATGCCTCCTTCTTTTTGAGTATTTCTTCACTAGGCACAAATGGGGCGCTGACTCTGGACCTCTTACGAAGCGGATAATAAACATCCACACGACGATCAAGGGACAAAAAGAGACTCGTATCCTTGGGGTTCGGATAGATTGGTGCCCCAGGGAAAAAATCCTCACTTTCTGTGACTGCAAGAACATTAGATAAAGAAATTAGTCGAAACGTCCTCCTACCGAGTTCACTACTCGAGTGAGCATACCCCGATGAATCACACACCAAATCATCATTTTTCTACTTAATAAAACCACAAAGTACGTCTGATATTAGAAACCAAAGCAACATATCAGTACCTAACACTACGAATATCATTCCTACCAAGAAATCTACAATAAGATTCTCATCGAAGGCACAGCTAACATTCTCGGATTGAACTTTCCTTGGAAATCCCAACAAGATTTGTAACATATAGCTCACAACCACAAGTCCTTACCATAAACATTAAAGTTCACGAAACAAACTCTTCAAGTCTTGACACAATTGATCTAAAACCGTATAAACTCTAGGATCTACAAGTTACAACATAGAAACATACCCAAATCCAAAAAGGAGTTAAACCATATAACCACATCCTCCAAAACAAAGATCCAAAGTACAAAAATCAAAAGGAACCAAATAAACGATCTGATAAAGCACAAAAAACCCACAAAAATTAGGCATAAATTACACTTGAAAATCCTACCATTCAAAATCACAGAACAAAAGGGGGGGAGAACCAGAGTTAAAGAAATCTTACGAGTAAAACCAAAGATCTTAGCCATGGGTAGCGATTGATGAAACCCAAAAACTCGACTGTGGGCAGCAGGCCACCAAAAAACCCTCCAAAGAGAGCAAAAAGGAGAGACCCAACAAAGGTGAAGACGGCGATGACCAAGTATTGAGGTGAAAAGAGCCTAAGCATGAGTTAGATGGAAGCCAAAATGACATGAAAACCCTATCAGATAGGGAAAAAAGGAAACAGAGAAGAAGAAGAAGAAGAAGAAGAAGAGGGTAAGGGGAAAAATGAAAGGTAGTGAAGGAATCAAATAGTCAGTCTTATTGACAGTTGAGAAGTGAAGGATTTGATGCACGCTACCATTAACCCACATGCAATGTATTTGCCCTAAAATGGTGGACCTTCCTTGCCAATATTCTTCCACCTAATCAAATCTTTTCTTTTCTTTTCTTTTTTTCTTAAAAAGATTGGATTTTTATTACCCTGTTTGGATGCTCCTCTATCCCCTATCCTTATTCTTCACAGGTTCACGACATGTTTGGACATCGGGTTATCCTACTTTTTCAAGTTTTCCCCCCAAAAAATCTAAATTTTAATTCTTTTTTTTTATAAATAAAATCGTTGATATTCCATAGTGGCATGTGAATGGAGAATCTTGTCTTTTATTTATTTATTTATTTATTTATTTATTTAAAAGCAAAATGTAAGAGAAATTATGAAATTCGACCACTTGGTGAATTTGCAATTAAAAAAGGGGACCAACTTGATGAATGCTTCGACCAAATGGGGAAATTCCTATCTTTATTTGAAAATCAAACACTCAAATTGTTTTCAATTCAAACCAATCAATGAGGACCAACTTGTTTGATTGAAAACTACACCTTCCTCTGTACCACTTTCCTAAATAATACAAGTCCATTGTTATTAAATATTGTTTACTTTGACCCATTACTGATCCACGTCAGTCTCACAATTTTAAAACGTATTTACTAGAGAGAAGTTTTCTCACCTTTTCCATGAATGTTTCGTTCCTCTCTTCAACTAATATAGAATCTCATATACACCCATCCAATTTTTATTTGGTACATGATAAATGTTGGTAACGTACAAATATAATTTAGAAGTAGAACACAAGGAAGTATAATTTTGAGACATTGACTGACCCACCAATGGATTCTTTCCCTAACTTTATTGGTCTAAATTTAAAGCGCTTCCCTATTCAAAAATTCTCTATCACTCAAGAACAAAATGTCAAAAAGCTAACTATTGTTGGATGATGAAAGTCCCACATCGGTTAATTTAGGGAATGGTCATGGGTTTATAATCTAAGAATACACTCTCCATTGGGATGAGGCCTTTTGGGAAGCCCAAAGCAAAGCCATGAGGAGCTTATGCTCAAAGTGGACAATATCATACCATTGTGGAGAGTCGTGTTCGTCTAACAACTATATGTATGTGTAAAAATTAGAATATAGACGTGATATTATTAAAATTATATAGAAAATTACGATTATAGAGTTAATAATTGACGGTAAAAATTATAGACGTTTGAAACATATGTTGGTATGTAGTAGGGGCATAAATGAAATTTCGTTATGATTATGCTACTTTGGGATATGATCTCCACGATTTCATGAATCATTTTTAATTTAATAAAGATAGACCATTTGATGTAATTTTATTATATTAATGGGAAGAATAAAGGCCCCAATAACTAAATAATATATATTTTTTTAATTAGAGCATTTAAATCACAGCAAAGGGAGGACTTGGGGATTGTGCATGTATGTTCAGTGCTAATCAATCAATTAATAATTAATTAAATTGCAAATTGCTGCCAGCATTGAGGGCCAACTTTGTATCAAATTTAATTAACCAAATTAAACTATATAATAAGAATGCTTTATTTGGTGGTATATCGGGCCTTAATTAAAATAATGGTCGACAAAAAAAAATCACCCTTGGACAATTAAATTGGATTGTTACAATATTTTATATTTTATATAAATTATTGTATAAAAAATGACTCGCTCGTGCTACACGAGAAATTTCCTAATACCTTCTGCACTTCACACGTGTTGTTCATATTTTTTGAAATAAGAGCATCTTTCATATCATATCAATCTCGTAAGTTGTTCGTCAAGTGTCGCTTGCTTTGTCACTAACCTATCTGCACGAACAACTTTGTAGATATCCTTTGTGCGTACAAAATTCTAACCTCTTAGTACCAACAACTTCGTAAATATTCTTTATGTACACAATCCTATGTGCATACACTTTATCTGTTGGAGAGGGGGAAATGAAACATTTCTTATAAGATTATGAAAACTTCTCCCTAGTATACGCGTTTTAAAACCATGAGACTGAACAACGAAACGTAACAAGCCAAAGTAGACAATATCTACTAGCATTGACCTAACGTCCTTGTTGACACACCGCCTCGTGTCCATCCCTCTTCGAGACTCAGCCTTTTCACTGACACATTGCCTCATGTCCACCCCTTCGGGGTTCAACCTCCTCACTAGCCCATTGCCTATTGTTTGGCTCTGATACCATTTGTAACAACCTAAACCCATCGCTAGCAGATATTGTCCTCTTTGGGTTTCCCCTCAAGATTTTTAAAATGCATTTACTAGAGAGAGGTTTCCACACCCTTATAAAGAATGCTTTGTTCCCCTCTCCAACCGATGTGAGATCTCCCAATCCAACTTCTTCAGGGCCTAACGTCCTTACTGGCACACCGCCTTGTGTCCACCCCCTTCGAGGCTCAGCCTTCTCGCTGACACATCGCCTTGTGTTCACCCCTATTCGGTGCTCAACCTCCTCATTGTCACATCGCCCAGTGTTTGGTTCTGATACTATTTGTAATAGTCCAAACTCACTGATAGTAAATATTGTCGCTGATGCAGGCAGCATCTATGACGGCTTCTTTCTCTGTTATAAGCCATTAAAGCACAAAGGGATCAAATCCAACCTCTTTAAGGACATCTATAGCTATGCTTCTTTTGCTATAACTAGGAGCCTTGGAAAAGAAGCTTGAGATTATCCACCATCAAAAGTATAAGAGCGCGCAGGTATTCACCAGAAAAGTGTAAGAATGAACAGCATGGTTTCTTGCTAGAGCAACCCTCTAAGCGGCTGAAGCGACAACGCCTAGAATGCATAGTTCCCTAGCGTAAACAACTTCCCAGAACTTGAAGAAAAGAATGAAGTGTAAAAAGCCTGAACGAGTTTCCTGTCACCGACTCTCGAGCTTGCTTGATGATGAAGCAAAAAATGAATATGAAAGATTCCAAATGAATGTAAAATACTCTTGAACAATACATGACAAGTTAATGCTTCTATTTGTTTACCCTGCAAGCTAAGGGAAGAACCAAAATGTGGCCATAAATCCTCCTTTTAACGTGATCTACAAGACCCAGAGCCAGGAAATGAAGCAATTTATGATCAATTAAGTAATCTAAGGACTAAATCTTTACAGACACATCATATTTACATCATTTGACCTCTAAAACAAGCCTAGGCACGACGAGACGATAATAATTGGGCTCAGCCGACATGTCATCAAGTGGTCAGATTTGGAGGTAGATAATCAGACAATTGCCCAAGAACACGAGCCTTCGTGTCAGGGAAAAGTTCAAATTTTTTAAGCGCCGAGATCGACCCATTGGGGCCTACTTCGATGGGGTAGGAAAGAAGATGACCAGGAAGATCGCCATCAAAGGTATCGTCCGAGTAAAATTGCCAGTTTTCTAGGGCGAGCTTGTTTACGAATTGGACGCAGTCTTCAGTCTCCGGGTTATGGAAGACTTTGTCAAACAGACCAAGATGTTCGTACCAGAGAGCCACTCGGAAGCCATAGATTTGACCTCTTGCAGGCTCACTAGATGCCAAGTGATGCGGCTGAAAAGCCCCCATGGCTATCTCAGAGTCTCTTCCTCCATCCATTGACCTCTGGTTGATGTTTGCAGACCCAATAATTATGTATTCATCGTCAACTGAAATAGAAATTTCATGTCTTTTAAACAAGAACTCAGAGAACAATCACATAACATGGTTTAATGAGTTTTGAAGTCTTACCTATCATCATTTTAGAATGAACATAGATCATAAAACGTCGAAACTCTTGAGCACGAGCGTAATCCGAGTTGGGTTCTGGTTTCTCCGGTGGAATATATTCTCCAGTTCTCTTCTTCTCTCGATTGCCAAGGCAGAAGAATGTCAGGTAATCTCTAGGATTTGCGTCGAGACCCTTCTTCCGAAGAGCTTGAGTTATATCAGTGTACATCATGTCTAAGGTTCTCCTCTGCCAATCTAATATTGCTTGAACTGAAGCACTCTCAGGAATACCTTCCGGCCACATTGGAATCACAATATATGCTGTAAACCTCTCTCCAGCTTCAATCTTGCTTACAATCTTCAATGAAATCTCCTTTGGAATAAGATGCAAAGCATTGATGCTTTCTACCCTCACACCATTTGATTTCCACCCATAAGAGCTTCCAAGGAAATACTGATTCTCAATGTATATGAAATTTTTAGCTCGGCGAATGGCGTTAATATAAGCATCTTGAGTACTCCTATCTATAACACTATCCTTCCCACTTACAAGGCCTAGTTTAGAAGCATCTTCAGGTATCTCTGGAAAGCCCTCAACAGCACCACCGTCGATAGATCGAAATATTTGAACATTCCATGTGTCGGGGTCGTCTGATGGTAATGCCATTACTGGGCGAGTAATGATTTCTTCAAACTTATGCATTGGAATCAACGAGTTATTTCCAACTTGCTTTCGCCATCTTTGCTCAAAATTGTACAAAACATCCCAAGCAACTGGCCCTTCCAGGCGGCAATGGATGTCATGCCATGGTTCCCGAGGACCGCCTTTCCTTATTGAAGAGCCTGAAAAGTTAGGCTGGTGAAAATCTTTATAGTGGATTGAATCTAGAGTAGAAAACAAAGGGTGTTTTGGTGTATCATATCTCCCATCACATAGATCAATACCACCAACAAAGCTCACGATCCTTCTATTCCCTGTTCCTCCACCAGCTATTTCACTATCAAGCACCAATGTTTTTTGGTGGTGAGTAAACGTGGTTGCTGTCTCAAACCCCTGAATTATGGTTCTACCAACATCAGGATTCCGTGGGCACAGAACGCATCGAACCTTCGAGCCCCTGAAATACTCTTCAGTTTCTTGATCGTGAGTTGCCATCAAACCATCTCGTTTGAACTCTTCAATGGAAGTTCTGTCATCCCAAACAAGAAGCAAAACGGTCACACCTTCCTCTGCTTTCTTCTTCAGCAGTTCCCCAAGAGTAATATCCTCTCCTGTTTGTCTTCTTTCTCTGTCTCTTATCAATGTTATTTCAGTATAAACAGACCAACCAGTTATATAAATCAAGTGTTTCGCATTGCTAATTGCATCGAAAATGTCCTCCCAACACCTATGAACTTCATGAAAATTCCCTCTTGACAACCCAACTCGAGGGAGGAAGTTGTTTAAAACATGAGCATCTTGGTAAAGAGAAACTTTGCAACCCCATCTTTGCTTGAAGAATGTGAATGGTACACCACCGAACTTCGGATCCCGGATTCCTTGGGACCAGTTCCTGTCTTCAATAACACTTGAAAATTGTAACTTTACATGGATTTTAGGACGACCATATAATGGCTTGCGGTCTTCATCTAATATTTCAACCCATCTCTCATATACATATCCCTTAATGATATCCTCAACAGGCACATAAGCTCTTCCAATTAATGTTGCACCAACTACACTTCCATCTTTTATTGTGAATATAACATGTGACAGTGTATGAGCACAGTATATACGAAAATGCTCGATCCATTGAGGACTGTTTGGCTGATCCACGATTCTCGTTCGGCCAACTCGGGCCTTATCAAGATCGAGTGTTGCGTACATTTGAGAGCCAACAATCTCCATATTGGATGAACATAGAAAATAAATGACAAACAAGAAATTAGACCCCTGTCACAAGACACTGCCAAATCCACCACAAAATTTACATACCTCGGGACAGCAAAGAATGCGTCTCTTCACTCCAGCAAGAAACTTTTTGGCCGACTTTTTTTTACATGAGAAGAAGATGAACAATATGGTAAATAAAACTACAATTTACTAGAGAACCGGTGAAAAAGTATCAAAACCTGGCTTTTTCCAGTAATCTCACAATGAAATAGACTTACCCTTTTATCCTGCAATGACAAATTCACCTCAGTAAGTGACTGAAAATAATAGGATATTCTATGGAATAGAATCAACTTGACCTCATTGATGGATTAGATTTTAGAACCATACCTTCCCGCAGAAAATAGGACATCCAGTTCGAAGCTTGTCGATTCCATATATATCGGCTTGAAGCGTCCCATGAAGCAGGCGCGGCATTTATCTCTTGCAGCAGAGTTTAAAGAGAAAAGGATCCTTACTTTTTCCCCGAAAATGCGTCGAACAAACAGGAAAACTCGGATATTCCTCCATCTGGGATAGCGTAGATTCATATATATATATACTAAAAGGGAAAATGAAATGGGAAGAAGAGTATCTTCACAATTTTTTATTTGAAGAAAGAGATGAGTCATGAAGGAATGGAAGATAGAATAAGTTCCCGCCTTCGTTTCCAAGAAGCCTAAGTCTAAAACTGACCCAACAGATCACAACAACGGTATTCTTAGGAGAAGGAAGATGGGGGGAAACCCAGACCAGAAGTTTACTTCTTTAGGGGTTTTCCTTCTTCCTTGTATAGCCTTTGCCGCCATGGCTACTCCAAGCCTGTTTCCCTCCTATTCTGCAAGTTTCAAATATCGTCTTCCTTCTTCTGATATATGATGAACATAGGATATTTATTATGTTTTAGTTGAGATTATAAAAGACATTGGAGGCATCGATGGATTGAACGATGATTCAATCTTTGATGACCACCGTTAGAACACGATTCATTTTACACCATTCTAGAACACGATCACACCCAATCGAGAAACTAATGAATATCAGAAGCCAATTGCAGAAGTATTCTGTGATTGCAATTTGCCGATCAAGTGCAATCAGTACTGAAGAACTTAGATGGAGAATCATTGATGCTAAATTTACCTGTCCTCTATTTACAAACATTTTGAACTTTCAGAAACATCAATGGCAATATTATGTCAAGAAACAAAACTTCTGAATTTATACTACAAATATAACTTATAGCTAACTTCACTAAGGGGCGATTTTGGAACATTTGTGTTCACACGATGGTGCTACATTATATGCTCCAACAAGCTTACATAACAACTATGATTCTATATTGGCAGAGTGGTCTTGCAGCAAAATTACCTGAATCAGCTACAAAAGCATGAGACCCCGTCACAATGGTCGCATCCGATCGGAAAGATAGCTCGCCAATGAGTTAATCGGCTTTGTTGGGTCGACGCTTTTCATCTTCCGGCATTTGATCTTGATCCGTGCAAGATAATCAACAGCAACCCAAGGAAAGCTTAACATTGGGGTGGCCTCGGCAATGTCGGGTTCTCGTAGCTCCATTGATTTCTTCAACCAAGTTGGATGGTATGTCACCTGATACCAAGCAGATGCCTTTCTTTCATACAACGCATTCCTTTCATCGTCAGTGAGTTGCTCAAACTCTGGGCCAATGTTCTCAAAAACTTGCCTGAACTCTTTCTTAAGAGTGGTATAAGAATGCTTGAGCTTCTCCTTCAGCTCTCCTTGCTTCCTGCTACTGTACTTTGGCATGGACCAAATATGCCCAGTGACAATCTCTTCTTCCCTACTAACTTTATATTGTCCCAGTAAACCGCTCAGCTGACCGTCATATGAGCACTTTTGATTCCATGCTTCTGCTATGAAATCTGCTGCTCCTGCAACTTCAAGATCAACGTCGTAATAGACATCGCCAGGAGTAAAATTTAGCTCGCATGCCGTGATCATATCTTCATCGTATACATCTCTAATTCGGCGATACATTCTTCCCAGAATTTTGGTGGACTTGTATGATTGAGTAGCTTGTTTTCCCATAAAATCTGGATATAGTTTTGGTTTTAAGTGGGGAGGCATGGTCACAATCTTCCCTGTTTTGGGGAAATCAACTGCTGTGGCAGCTAATTCAGATAATTTAATGCAGTTCTCATCCAAAGCTCCATACTCACTGCGGTCAGCATGAACAACATGCGCATTGCATATTGTCCCAAGACTCTCATTAATCATATTTTTGGCGAAGAACTCCATTATATCCTATAGAATGATAAGATCAAAAACCACAAGAATAAGATATGTCAGAAGAAAATTTAAACGTGCTTGCTTGATTGTCTAGATAGCCCGCTCCTCACATCTAAACCACATTCTTTCCATACAGTCAGACAAATAAAATGAATCTATAAATAATGAAAGAATCAAGCGTAGGCATTTGAGTTCACGTAAAGAGGTTATGTTAAGAGTCCAGGAAGAATTACAGAATTATGCATGCAGGTTATGATGAACAAACTGTATGGTAAAAAAGATCGAGTAGGAGGACAATACCAATCGCGTAACTTCGCGTGTAAGAGTCTTTACTTCTGCTGCAACATAGTTCATAGGTGGCCAACTTTTTCTACTAGGTGGAATAAGATTTTCATCCCAAGTAATAAAGTAGAGATCCCCATCCAAATCACTTCCAGAAGCTTCGTTTGTATGGGGTCGTTCACCATTTTGAGGAAACACGAGGCAATCGTATAAATGATGCAACTCAGGAGCATCAACTGCTTCAAGAATTCTCACATCTCCAGGATGAAGGCATGGATTTTTGGCTATGACTACAGTCCCTCTTATCACAGTAAGATTGTTCTTTGTCTCATCAAAGAGAGACCCATGCTTGGAGAAACACCTCTCAAGCAGTGGAGTGGATACTTGAATGAAGCATTGGCCTTCTTGTAGCACGGCGCTCTCGTCGAAGCACCCCATACACCACCTCCCATCAGTAACAAAGATCCTAGCTTTTTCCCGAAGGCCCCAGAGCTGCGCTGCTCTTATACACATTAGCATGCCCCTTAGATGAGGTTCAGTTTGAGGTTCGAAACCAGCACTCAACATAATTGCTGCTGCATTTCCTTGCTCAGCACAGGATGCCGTGAGAACATCAAACGCCACATTTGTATCAGTGATCATTCTATCCAGTTTTGAAACCATGGTCTCCTGCATACTCCAGAAATTTTCATCAGGAACATTTAGTGTAGAAAGAAGGGTTATAATCTGTCTATTAAGAAAACCTGGTTGAAATCTAGTCCATGAACAAATCTCCAAGATTCTATGATCTGATTGAAATTTGTTCATGCTTGGTCTTAAAGCAAGTCTGATCCCGTCACCCTTGGATGGCCAAGAGGCAACAACACCTTTGCAACCTGCATATCTAATTTGGTAAGCACAGGGTGGGCTCCCACCCAATTTTAATTTGTCTGCAACTTCCTGCGCTAGATCAGGAGTAATGGTACCAATCCCATCAGAGAAAATATAGTCATTCCTCTCAACGTCAGGAAGTTGGTGATCGACCATGTTTCTTGGAACTTCAATTGTTGCATAAGTAGATGAAAAACACTGACCAATTCTAGCAGCACACTTCGCAACATTTTTATTCGTAAATCTCCCCATCCAACGTAAAATACTATCAACAGTAACATCTTTGCATTCAGAAAAGAACCAAGCTGATTGGTCTCTCAGTTGGTTGGACGAGTACGCCAAAAAGGAGTATTTCCGACCACACAAGTAAAATCCATGTTTCAGAATATGTTTCATCCTCCCAAATATTTTAGTCTTCTGGGGAAAGGAGCTTGAAGTAATTTCCTTTACTATAGGAGCAACATAATAGGTATAAACATGTGAATTGATTTTCTTCATGCCTTCATCCATGAAGGTAACCCTGAGGAACCTATCAGCAACATCCTTGAACCTTCTTAAAACCCTATTGGAGAGTTCAACTTCAGGTGGAAAACAGTACGCTTTTGATGGAGTTATTACTAATCTCCTGATTTCAATGATATCAACCAGCTCTTTAGATCTTTTCCAAAGCCTAGGGTTCTTCAACAGCCATTCTTGTACATGTTTTAGCCTCTTACAGGCGTCCGGTACAGGATGTCTATATGTATGAATATGACTTAAAGCAGCCAAACTAACTTCATTGGGCTGGTTTCTTAGCAGATCAAAGAATCTATCAGTCATTTGGTGCTGGTTGATTATCCCTTTGTGCATTACTGCATTTACTAGAAATAACAGTTCAAAGGATATGTCTTCTTTGTAATGGATGCAAAAGAAGTGATCAGTAATTTGCACCCCATAATCTGGTTCATTCAGGATCTTGGGAGGCCGTTTGAGGGACGCCTGGTGCACTCTTTGTTCTTTTAAATAATTCATGGCATTATTCAGCTTGATACCATACCGGGGTGGAACTGAAACTCTGTACGTATTACAACGGCCAATAGCCCCACTTATCGTGAAATCTGTTGTCCGGATCCATGGATCGTCGTCGTCCAACAAATCATACGGAACTGATTTGGCGATATCATCATCTGCAGTTCTATACCAAATGCAGGGCGACGAAGTAAGTTGCAAGAGAATAACATAACATGATATATCTGTATATCTTTTGATCTGATTAATGTCCCTCACCAAGAACTCCACCTTGTAATCACACTTTAACACTGTATGCTTGTTGTTATCTTTAAAAGAGAACGCGGTATCCCTCGTGAAACAAAATTTACAGGTTCCATCAAAGGGATCCACAAGAAAATCCATTCCACTGGAAGGTCCTCTCCAAGCAACCGAAAACCCATCTTGACAAGTTAAGTTCCCTATATCTACAAGCACATTAGATAACTTAAAGGGAACCTTAGTCCTTCGCCTCTGATTTACATGGTATGGACTCTCAGGCCCCAAACTCACCTTCAACAATCTATCGTTCAAAAATAGCTCATTACGCCCTGCGGCATGTAGAGCCCCAGCAGCTGAGTCAGGTAAGGCAAAATGCACAAATGCATGAGGCACCACCTTCTTATAATCATCAGATTTTATTACATCGGCGACATTAACGATGTCAAAATCTGGGTACGATTCTGGAGGTGTCCATGAAGTTTTCAATCTACACCTGTCCACAAGCCCAATTTCAGATTCAAGATAACTCATAAGATCTTGTGCTTTAACATCACTGTCAAATCCTCCAATGCTTACTTGAGTTACCACTATCTTTTCACTTTCTTCCGATCCCATTTACTTCTCTGGTTGAGAAAAAGAGAAGACAATTTCAATTTCTCATTGTACTCGATTAATTAGTTGATCGATTATCTTAAGTTGATGAACACAGCATACATAAACCAATTTAAAAGCAAGTTGAAAAAACAAGATCATTTCATCAATAACTCCAGAAAACTGAGAGCAGAAGAATTCACCCTCAAGTTGTTAGGCTAAAATAGGGGAAAAGGTCAACTTTTATCTACCAACTCTTCAAAGCAAGAGGATAGCCTTCATGCAGAAAAATAACATATTGTAGCTTCTTCTGGAAAAGGTTCTGAACTTTGACAGTAAGAATACTTGTTGAGTTCACCAAAATAACTTTATCTTTTCTTATTCTATCTACAACGCTAAAAGTTTCCTGAGAAAACTAATTCCCGTAGAACGCACGAACTCGTACGCCAGGGATCAATTCAGATGCACAACAGCAGCACGTTCGTGTATGAGGGAAATTTATATGTTTTTTCATAGTCTCATACTCCATCTTAGATTCATAATAAAATGGACCATCAATGGCAATGAATGATCATGAAGCATTTCAGGAATTTGAACATACTTTCTCTTTATCATCCATACCAGGTTTTAATATTTATGAACAAGTTAAAAGGGGAAAGGTACCATGATTGAACTTGCACTCCTACGACAGCCTGCTTAAACATATCATAATTCTACAATATATTGCAACTCTTTTGGTATTCATCTCTTAGAGTTGGCTACATGGAAGGTGAAGCAGGTTTGCCGAGACCAAGAGTACGCCATGAGCTAATACAATTATAACAGCCCAAGCCCACTGTTAGCAAATATTGTCCTCTTTGGACTTTCCCTCTCGGGCTTCCTCTCAAAGTTTTTAAAATGTGTCTACGAGTTCTCAAAATCCACCCCCTTCAGGGCCCTCGTTCCTCTCTCGAATCGACGTGGGATCTCACAACAATGGTAGGACGTCGACAACCTAGTTATAAACAAATTACATTCTAGAAAGAAAAAAAAAAAGTAACAAAACAATAACTAACCACGCATTCACTATTTTCAAGAAACTAAATATCAAAGAGTACAGCATTCTACACACACAAACAGCCATGAGTTACAATTATCAAAGAACGAGCCATCCACAAACTACAAGTTTCTAAACATTTATAGCCTCCCCAAACAACCCATCACAGGATAAACATAAAAAAGATCCGCCCCTCCCTCCTCTCAAATTTTCTTGGCAGCCAAACAGAGTTTCAAACAAGCCCACAAAGCAAAATCAAAAACCCCAATTTCTTGAAGTACAAATGAAAAGTGATTCTGAATCAATCGAAGCCACTAACCTTGAAGAACAAGAACTTGCGGATTGGCTTCCTCTAATCGGTAATCACAAGAATCAATGATCCTTGCAGATTGCAGGAGAGTGGGAGCATTTGAGTTCGCAAATGTAAGATCCGAAGGGGAATGTATAAGCTTGTGGTACACTTGGGTAGCTTCTGGAGTAAGATTTGGGAGTGATCTAATTGTTGAATATAGAATATTGACCGAGTGAAATTGGAATCGAACCCTTTGTGGGTCTCATTGGTCTTCATATATTCACAAAATTAATGAATTCTGCTTTTGGTCCTTTGTGTCTGTCTTTGGCCTTAGCTCAAATCCCTAAACTTTTATATAAATAGCAATTTAATCCATAAACGGTAATAAATCGTATATAATTAAATACATGATATTTCTATATTTATAGTTTATAAATAATTTTGATTCTTAATCAATTTATCAATCACGTATAATAAATTTTATTAAATATTAAAAAAAATTCAGACTAAATAATTACAAATTATAGAATCAAATTCTTACTTCTAAAAATTTAAATATTAAATTGTTAAAAAATTAATAATTTAAAGAGAAAGTTGTTGCAAATTACAATTTATGTATGAAATTATTATTTCTTAAAACTTAAAAAAAAAAAAAGTGTGAATAGATATGAATATATTATTACTCGACGAAATAATACATAAAAATGATAAATATAATTGGGATCGAAGGTTAAATGTTTATTGATATTCACAACCTTTTATAAGATACTAACTAATACCTACTAACAAGAAAATATAAAATAACTAAATCTCGAAAATAAAATAAAATTTACTACTATTCAAATTTAACTTATTACAAATATCTAAGATATATTCCGTCACTAATATATTCTTCAAATATTAAATGATTACGAATATCATATATTTCATAATTAATTTAAACTAGAAATAAGTTTGACTAATTATTACATAAATTTAATTGATTTACAAATTAGAGAGATTTTTTTGGCGGTTTAAAGTTTTAGAATTGAGTCCGACCATACCTAATAAATTGGATTTATGAAATCCAATTGAATTTGATCGCAGTTTCGTGTTTCATGTGTCGTACTCCAACTAGAGCAAAAAGAAAAGGGATTGCAAACCTCCCGCCGAGAGGTCAAGGTATATGCTAACCCATGTTTTACTATTAAACTATCTTCACCCGCTACAACAAATAGCAATGTGAGCAAAATGACATTAATTGTAATACATAATTATATGATTCGATATCATATTTCATACATGAACCTCATAGGGTTCACCGTCTAAGTTGAAAATTCGGATTAATAAACTTAATTATTTGAATAAAGTCCACCATCTAACTCAACTCAAATTCTTTATTTTTGAGACGTAACTTTTTTATATTATTTATAATACATATTAGGCTAATAATTTTGATTTATTCATAAAATGTAAAAAAATATTTATTTATCAATTACCGTAAAATGGAAAACATTTTAGAAATTTGTTGTATTTAAAAATAATGGAAAAAAATGACAATAATGGGGCTGTCACATTTATCTCAATAATTCATTTTTGTCCAGTGTCAGATTAGGAGGGCGAGTTATCGTAAATAGAGGCAGGCAGCAAGGGTATTTTGGACAATACGTACAAGTATTCAGCCTTTATAACGGCACTCTCTTTTTCGGAACCCTAATAACCCCCTCCGCTCTTCCACCCTGCGCTCTACGATATTTGGAAACCCAGGTCTTAACATTTTCTCTCCAGCTAACTTACTTTTCCTTTGCAGACTTCGTGAAATCGCAACCAAACTCTTTAAGTCGAGTTCATAGCAGGCTACCAGGTAATCTCAATCACTCTGTTCGAAGCCTTAATTTTTTTTTTTTGATGTTTTAAACCCTAGTTTTGGTTTAGGGTTGGATTTGCTTTCTGTGATCTCGCAATTTAGTTTGTTCTCTGGGTTTTATGTGTAGGAAGAAATGGGAGAAACAAGAGAGAACGAATATGAGGAAGAGCTCCTCGACTACGAGGAAGAGGAAGAGAAGGCCCCCGATTCCGTTGGAGCTAAAGTCAACGGTGAAGCTGGAAAGAAGTGAGTGGTCTATTACTTTGTTCTATATAGGTTTGCTTATGGATAAACTAATAGTCCAATACTTGACTGAGGTTTGTCGAACTCATTATATGATAAAATTTGAGATTTGGAAGTAATTTTATTCGTCTGGTAGAGTTGAGAGTTAAGGCGGGTTGGAATAAGTAGTTGTTTGAGCTTAAGTGAACTTAAATGAGATGATTTATTTTTCATGCTACATCTTTCTTGAAAAATATGCTTTTCCTTCCATTTTTGGGATTTTCCCCTGTATTATCGCATTTTTGTTTGGTCGAGATCCTTACCTTCTTTCTTTATCTTCGATTTTAGGGGTTATGTTGGAATTCATAGTTCGGGATTCAGAGACTTCCTATTGAAGCCAGAGCTTCTCCGTGCTATTGTAGACTCTGGGTTTGAGCATCCATCTGAAGGCAAATTTCTAATCTTTATTTTCAATAGATGAATCTTAAGACAAAGTGGCCATGTAATTTAAACTGGTACAATTATTCTTAAATTTTTTATTAGCAGGATTTTAAGGGAACATCTTTAAGACCTATTTTTTGCGGATGCAGTATCTCACTAACCCGTAACAAATATCTATCAACTCTGGTTTCATTTTGAAGTTCATAATTATTGGTTATTGGGTTTTGTAGCTGGTGTAGGATTTGTCAACTTATCACGTCATAAATAGGATAGAGTTAATTGGGTGTTGTGTTGGTATGTTATACGAATGGGTTTTTAGTTTATAATAGAAGCCTACGATGTTCATCACTTGTTACTGTGCTGCAGTCTTCATGTGTTCATGACCTTAATTTAACGCTTCCTTGAGAACGCTTGATGCTATTAATTTATAATCATGTTTCAAATAGAGAGAATTATTGACACATTTCTTGAACAGTATAGCATGGATGTACTCGCACTAACACATCAGTTTGGAATACTTGTCTTTATTGATTATGCTATTTCCATATGTTCTTATTGCTCTGTAAATATGATATTGCTTAAGCACATGTTTTTCTTAACCATCATGTGTTAGATGTTTATATAAGTTTTTTAATGGTTTGCAGGTAATAAATTAATATCATAATCTTGATTTTGGAGCAATGTATATGGTTTGATAAACCTTTCGCATAAAAGGATCGGAGACGTTATAATTTACTTACCAACGGTTCATTTGGTTCGATCCTTTTCTTTGGTTCTTCATCAGTGCAACACGAATGTATTCCCCAAGCTATTCTCGGCATGGATGTTATTTGTCAAGCTAAATCTGGTATGGGCAAAACTGCTGTTTTTGTTCTGTCAACGCTGCAGCAGATTGACCCTGTTGCTGGTCAAGTCTCTGCACTAGTTCTGTGCCATACGAGGGAGCTTGCATACCAGGTGCATAAATGCGTTGCTTATGTTTTTAAATTTTCATTCTCTTAAAACATATACAGAATTTAATTCCTTGCATTATTTGTGTATCTAGCACTGACTCTTTTTTTGTACCACTTCAGATCTGTCACGAATTTGAGAGGTTCAGCACTTATCTTCCTGATCTGAAGGTTGCTGTCTTCTATGGTGGGGTGAATATTAAAATTCACAAAGATCTTCTGAAAAATGAATGTCCTCATATTGTTGTTGGAACACCTGGAAGGATACTGGCATTGTCAAGAGACAAGGACCTATCTCTGAAGAACGTCCGACATTTTATCTTGGATGAGTGTGACAAGATGCTTGAGTCCCTTGGTATATTTTCTTTTGATAATCATTTGTTCTTCAAAGTTCTATTAGATTCTCCACTTTATATTAGTTTATCCAAATTCTCTAGTTGTTTCCCTTCATCCTGGTCCTTTTATATCTCATGACTATGTTTTAATATATGTATAAATTGGCATTGGCTTATTTTCTTACTGTGCACTCTACATGTGCTCTACAGATATGCGGAGAGACGTACAGGAAATCTTCAAGATGACTCCTCATGACAAACAAGTTATGATGTTCTCTGCAACACTCAGCAAAGAAATCCGCCCAGTTTGCAAGAAGTTTATGCAAGATGTAATGTCCCACAGCTAGTAAACCTTGAATTTAGAAGTTTTTTCCCTTTAAATTTCACTGTCTCCTAGAGTTTTCAAATTGTGGTTTTTACAGTAGGGTTTCCTACTCGTTATTTGAGGGGGATCTGTTTAGTACTATCTTTTATCCGCCATCACCTACAGCTCGTGCGGGAATTTTCTATTCTTGGAGGAATAATAGTTGGTGATACTGTTTAGTGGTTCTGAAGTAGTAGTTGGTGATTGAAGCCACTCACTTCTTTCATCTTAGTCTCCCGTTGCATGTCACTTGTTATTCTCTTATTTGGTTATGGTTGTTGGATTCTGGTTCCAACTTCCAACTGTGCGGTCATGAGTATCCAAGTTAGGGGATGAGAAAAAAAAAAGGATCCTATTGGATTCTTGTGTATTAGTGTAATAGTCTGCATCTGCGGCATTTCTTGATGAATATAGACGTATCTGCAAGGGGAGGCAGAACAGTTGACCACAATCTTGATTCATGGGATGAACATGCTCTTTCATTTCCTTCATCTTGAGGAAGTATTATGATTTACCATGACGTTTGTTCCTTTCAGCCAATGGAAATATATGTAGATGACGAGGCAAAGCTGACCTTGCATGGTCTTGTCCAGGTACATGGTTGTGACATTGAATGAATAGATTGTCCTTTTTTTTTAGCTTTCCCTAAAATTTGTTTTGGGAATGTCAGCATTACATCAAATTGAGCGAGATGGAGAAAAATCGGAAGCTGAATGATCTCCTTGATGCTTTGGACTTCAATCAAGTGGTTATTTTTGTTAAAAGTGTTAGTAGAGCAGCTGAGCTGGATAAGTTGTTGGTGGAGTGTAATTTTCCCTCTATATGCATCCACTCTGGCATGTCTCAAGAAGAGAGGTAGGTCCAACATTTTTTTTTCAGGTTCAAAAATTTCATATTCATTTATGCCTCGGTATATTGATTTTTCATTTATTAATGTTACTACTAAAGGGCATGCAAAACGTTGTTCTTCATGTTTGAGGTTAGCTATGGTATAGTTACTGAAGTGTTTTTGTTGAAATTTGAATTTTCATCTTCTTCTTGTCCTTATTTTTATTTTCCTTTTACATTTGAATTCTCTAGATGTAGAACTTTTGTCCCTGCAAGGTGTTATACTTTATTAACGTTGGGAAGTTGTGAAATTGCCCATTTCATTTTGTTATTTATGTTTGAAGGTGGTTGATCTTCTTGAGGTCAGTGACTAATATAAAAAGATGATGTGCCAGGTTGACTCGATACAAGGGCTTTAAAGAAGGACATAAGCGGATTCTTGTGGCAACAGATTTGGTTGGTCGAGGAATTGACATTGAACGTGTAAACATTGTCATCAATTATGACATGCCAGATTCTGCTGATACTTATTTGCACAGGGTAAAGTGGACCTACTTATTTTAATGTTCATCATGCATACATTGTGCTTCCCGAGTGTGTATAATGAGTCTTCCTTTGAATATCCTACAGGTCGGCAGAGCTGGTAGATTTGGCACCAAAGGGCTTGCAATTACCTTTGTATCATCTGCAGCTGATTCTGATGTTCTCAATAATGTATGTAATTTCCAGTTGTTACATAGTGTGGCCATTAGATGGTTGTTTTCATAGTCTTGGTTATTGTAGGTTCAAGAAAGGTTCGAAGTCGATATTAAGGAGCTTCCAGAGCAGATTGATACATCCACATACAGTATGTTTTCTTGTTTCCTTCTTTTGAGATTATTCTCCATTTTGAACTCCAATTCCTCGTAGTTTACGTTTTATCCTTCATTTGATATTATATCATTATCATTTAATTTTCCCTTTTCCCTGTCGTGTGGTAAATTTTTGCTCATTTAGACATGATTTTTAATGGGTAAACCTCGGCACTGTCTTCTTTTTTTTATCTTTTTGTTGTCACTTGTCAGTCGGTTGCAATTAAATTTTCAATGGTAAATTCAATCCCATGGTTTAAAAGGAACACGTTAATATTTGTCTGTCTTTGCATTTTCCGCTCTGTTGGTTGCATCTTGTAAATTCTAAAAGCTCCACGTTCTTTCAACGTATGTACAATAGAATTTGTCCTATTAGTCAGACAATCAAGAGTTTTCTCTGCTATGTTTCTACGTTCTTCTCATGAGTTATGCCAAATTTTTCTCTTTTTGGTTGCAGTGCCATCATAGACGTAGAGATCATCAGCATAGAAATCGGCTACCTGGGTTGGTGAGGGTGGTTCACATATCATTGTGGTTTGATTTTGATTCGGACTAAAAATGGATGGAAGCCACTGCACTCACTAGCTTTGATGTGAACGAGGGCAATGGTGGATGCGCCAAATGTGGGTGGTGGGGTGGGTGTATACGCTGCCATTTGAGTTTATTGTATTCTAATTGCTGGGGCTGTCTTGCATGGAAGAAGTCTCTATATGCGTTTTATCCTGAATCGCGAATGATACAACAAATGTATTACTTTAGATATTCCTCTCTGCAAGACTAACAATAACGGTAGACTGGTTGGTTGGTAGTATTTGCAGTGATTTTATCGGATTCCTTATGTGAACCCATTTCCCCAAGTTCCATGGCTTCACCTGGTTCTCTCGTTACTGCCTATTGCTGATGTTTTGATGCGAATTTTACTGGAGATTTAGCTTGCAAATCAACATACCAAGTTTTGTGAATGAGATGTTCATAAATTAGATGCCTGAAATCGATTTCGTATTCTGTTTTAGCCATTCTTGTGATTCTAGAAGTGTTAGCATTATTCAGCTTTGGCATCATCAACTAGTTTAGACAAGGTTCCAAATTCGAATACTTCCTCACATGTTAGAACAAATCACTCACTATAATAATAGTAATAGTAGATGGGTTATTTCCTCTTCATTAATGGTGTTGTGGGAAGACACCGACAAATTTGAAGAGGCAATCACGTTCTTAAATGTTTATTTAGGAAGTGCGTGCATTGCATGATGAGGTTTTTATTTTATTTTTTTAGAAAAATTAAAAAAATGTGATAAATTATTAAATTTTCATGAACTTCTAAAAAACTCTTTTATTTATTTATTTATTTTTCTCTCCACAGCAACGAATCCCTCATATTTAATATAATCTCATTTACACCCAACCAATGCAATTATCAAAATGTCTTGGTCAGAATGATTTATTCAAATACTGATTCTTTTAAATAATTAATATTTTTTTGGAATCTTTTTCTTTGGTATGTTGACCTTATGACGAAGTCGAGAAAAAACAAAAAGTAGTCCGTCATCTTATAAAATGATTTTCTTTTATGACACGGTAAAAATAAGCTATCTCGATCAAGAAGTTTAAAGTTCGAATCAATAAACATGGTGGGGCGTGATAGGTGAATGAGTAATAAAAATAGATAAAAAGATAAAATATGTGATTTATTTAGATGATTATTGGTCGATAGAAACTAATTCTAAGTTGTAAAAATTAGATATACCATTATGAGAAGGTGTTCAGTACAGTTAGAAGGCAAATTTGTGCATTTCTTTAAAGAAAAAATCCATTTATTTCCATAAATTAATAATTTTATTCAGTATTTTAAGTTGATTTCTTATAATTTAAAATCTAATCTCTTACATTTAAAAATTTATAAAATGCTAAAATTGGTAGTAATTTTGAATGATTTTTTCCTCTAGATTTTTAGGACTTCAGTAAATATTGTATCATATAAGTTAATATCAATCAAATTTTTAACATTCAGAGATTAAATAAAAATTAACACTAAAAAGACTAAATTAATATTTTGTAAAATAATTAAAAAGATAAATAAAATATACATTAGCCTAACTCACGAGAGAGATCCAAGGAAAATAAAAAGTCAATGGAAAAGTATTAAGACAGCTGGCAGTGGCATGTTGCAACTACTGAAAGAGTGGGGGGCGGAACTGACTTTTCATATATATATTTATATATATAAGCTTGGAATATTTGAAAATTGATTCTAAATTATTTGATTAAATATACAATTCCCTAATTTGTCTTTATGTCTCTCTATATATAAATATAAATATAATAAAATAAATATTTAATAATTTAGGCAGCCACCAGTATGATTGAAAGCCAGAATAATTTTCCTTCACTCCTCATCTCTATTATTGGTTTTCTTTTTCTTTTTCTTTTTTTAATTATTAAATTACCAATTTGGTCATATGGAACGAATTTACTTTTAATTACGTATTTTTATTTCTAAAATTTCAATTTCCAGTAAATTTTTTTTTATAAAATTATTTTATATTTAAATTAAATTATATAATTTATCCCTATTTTCCCTTTATTTCTCAATTCATATTAATATAATTATGTTACCAAGTAAATAGTAAATATTTTTCTGATTTGTTTTTGTCTAATATAAATATATATATAATATTTAAATAATTGAACGCCAGAATCCTTCTGCTTCCCTATCCCCACGCAAAAGCCCTCACTCTTCGTCTCTATTAGTCTTTTGAGTTAAATTACTAATTTAGACATTACTCTCAATATATATATATAGTTTTTAATTTCGATTTAATTCTCATATTAAATAATTTTAGTATTTAATACTATCTTTAAACTACTTCAGTTTATTAGTTTCTCCCTTATGTAATTAAATTAAACCCTTTAAAACTATAATAGTAACGAAATTAGTTTTTTTTTAACAAAGACCCAAATACGTAATTCAACCTCATTTCCCCATGTTATTTTATTTTCTTATATATTGAAAGAAAAAGTCTCCCTAATTTCCCAAATCCGCCATTTCCCTCTTCCCCTGTTCTCCCCCGTCGCAGCCTCCGCCGCCCCCCTCCTTCCATCTCCGGCAACAATGGGGAAAGGCGGTGCTCTGAGCGAAAGCGTCGTGAAAAAAATCCTCCTCTCTTATGCCTACGTGGGCATATGGATCTTCCTAAGCTTCACAGTCATCGTCTACAACAAATTCATCCTCGACAAGAAGATGTATAATTGGCCATTCCCAATCTCCCTCACCATGATCCATATGGCCTTCTGTTCTTCCCTGGCCTTCATAATCATCCGCGTCTTCAAGCTTGTTGAGCCTGTTTCCATGTCCAGAGATCTCTACGTCTCCTCTGTTCTTCCCATCGGCGCCCTCTACGCCTTCTCCCTTTGGCTCTCCAATTCCGCCTACATCTTCCTCTCTGTTTCCTTCATCCAAATGCTCAAAGCGCTCATGCCCGTCGCCGTCTACTCCATTGGTGTCCTCTTAAAAAAAGAGCCGTTCAAATCCGATACCCTTTTCAATATGCTATCAATTTCATTTGGAGTCGCCGTCGCCGCCTATGGTGAGGCGCAATTCAATGCTTGGGGGGTTTTTCTTCAATTGGGTGCTGTTGCTTTTGAGGCTACCAGACTTGTTATGATTCAAATTTTGCTTACCTCTAAAGGGATTTCTCTGAATCCGATTACGTCTCTGTATTATGTCGCCCCCTGTTGTTTTGTCTTTCTTTTGGTGCCGTGGGTGTTCGTTGAGTATCCGATTTTGAGAGAGTCTTCCAGTTTTCGATTTGATTTTTTGGTTTTTGGGACCAATTCGATCTGTGCTTTTGCGTTGAATTTGGCTGTTTTTCTTCTTGTCGGGAAGACTTCGGCTTTGACGATGAATGTCGCCGGAGTTGTTAAGGATTGGTTGTTGATTGCTTTCTCGTGGTCGGTGATTAAGGATACCGTGACGCCGATTAATTTGGTTGGTTATGGGCTTGCGTTTTTGGGTGTAGCGTATTATAATCACTCGAAATTACAGGCGTTGAAAGCCAAGGAATCGCAGAAGAAATCGGCGGCGGCCGATGAGGAGGCTGGAAGGTTGTTGGAAGTGAAAAACGCCGGCGATGGAACGGGGAAGTGAAGCCATTCACAAAATAAAAAAAAATCCGTTTCTTTCTGTTTCTCATTGTCTGTCGGATTTTTAGATTAATGTTTCATACGATGTAATTTAAAAATTGAAAAAAAAGGGAAAAAAATAAATTACACAAAATGAAATTTATCCCTAGTTCTTCTTTATTTTGTTAAATTTTGTTGGATTATTAGAATTTATGAATTCGAAAAGCGGGTTAGAACTAGAAACGAACTTCAAGATATAATTTTTTACGAACTTCAAGATAAGGAAGGCAAAGTTTGTGGATCTCTGTCCCCGACATAAACTAGTGAAACGACGTCGTTTGGAGGAGGAGTTACGATATTTCTGCGACTCGAAAATTTAGGGTCAACGGTAATAGTTTAATGTATTATTAAAATAAAAATGGATTAATTCAATTCAATTCAATTTATGGAGTTTAATTAAGAGTGTAATTAAGCATTAAATGTAAAGGAGTTTGATAGAATCACCGAGGTAAGGCAGCTGGCATAATTTGACTTTCGTGTTCTACACGTTGAAAAGTCAAAGAGTTTGGCGAAGGTGGGCCCCATACAAACCTAAGAGACAAATGAAAGGACAGAACACGTTGGCTATTACTTTAGGATGTACTTAGTCACAATTGACTGCTTCAGTCCTTGAAATCAAGTGTGAGGAGCTTCCAATTTTTCTTTTCCCACCTCATATTTTATGGTTTTATTTAGATAATAGGATTTTTTTTTATCCATTTTTACTTATTTAATATTTGTCACAGTCAAGTGTGAATATTTAATATTTAAATTTTATTAATAATAAAAAAATTAACACGATGATAGAACTCAACTCAATCAAACCTAAAAATAAACGTTTGAGTTGAGTTGAATTGTGAACGTTTATCGTTATTATATCACTAACCCAATCAATCTAAAAGTATATAAAATTGGTAGCATGGACCATTAACAAAAGTATATAAAATTATAAAATTATAAAATTTATTGGTAAAGACCATGAATGGAACTATTCTCAATGGGTCGTTTTCATGATTAGGTCATTAAACGGCTTTTTATGAATGTATGTAGATTAACATTACTCAAACTATAGATTAAAATTAAATTAATTTTTTTTTTAAATTATAGGACCAAATTGAAACAAAATTAAAAAAAAAATTGTACTTATTTTCAATATATAGTATTAAACTGTTCCATATTTATTTAAATTAATTTTTTTTAAATATCCCTAAAATAATGCAAAAAAAAAAAGTCTACATCTTTATGAATCGGTGCCCTCAAGCGTATGGCACCAAATGGGCTGAGCTTTGTTTCAAGCGTATGGCCTTGAAGATGGGCTGAGCTGTCAAGCGTATGACATCGAATGGGCTAACCACTCGGTTAAATAAACATTTCTAATTGCTCTTCGAATGGGCTGAGCACTCGTTTAAATAAACATCTCTAACTATCATTTTCTCAAACCGAAAACTACCAAGTCTACTCTCATTTCGAATGTTCCAGAAACAACAATCAATTAAGTTTCTTATCAAAACGTATCATCTTTTTCTCGTCGTTTATTCACAATATTATATCTATATATTCACATTTATCGACATAGATTAAATAATTAAGAGTCTTCGTATCAAAAGATAATATAATATATTCATTGATAAACATTGCTCTATATGTGTATCATGCCTACTTATGTGATAATATTGGGTATGCATTATTTAACCATGGCTGCCCATGATTCCATCCTATAATATACAAATAAAATAAGGTTTGCTTTTGGTATATGATTATAATTTTCTGATTCAGGTGTGGGCAAGTTCGTGTATAAAACCTATCTTTTTTGCTTCACCAACCAACTTAAGCTGTAATTTAAGGCCATACTCATCAAACTGATCATCATCAAATCTTCCCCAACTCATTTTAATTTTCAACAAATTCTTTAATATAATGAAGAGATGAAGCTCAAATAAAATATTCTTTAACAATTTCAACTCATATTTGTCCCTGATGAGACAAAGATGGATGTCGGAACGTAGGAGAAGTAGAATGGAAAACATGGACAGTAGTAAAAATTGACAGCTCTCTTAGGATTTCCTCGTCTATAATCCTTGGAAAATAGGATTAAGTTGGTCCCCGTAAACAACTTGATCATGTACAATCTCCCTGCAACCCTTCGAGTAATAAGCAACAAAAGAAAAGAAAATCCATGGATCGATTCCATTGTCTCCACCCGTAGGAACTACGTGATCACTCCAAGGATGTCTCTAGTATTCGAGGGTTGTGGACTAATCTCACTACTAGCGGTAGGCTTGGGCTATTACAAATGGTATTAGAGCCCGCATTTAGCAGTGTGAGAGGATGCTGACCCCCCCAAGAGGTGGATTGTGAGATCCCACATCAGTTGGAGATGGGAGTATTAGAGTCGGCACCTGATAGTGTGGGAGGATGTTGGCCTCCAAGGGATGAATTGTGAGATCCCACATCGGTTGGAAATTGGAAAGGGGAACGAAATATAAGGGTGTGGAAACCTCTCCCTAACAAACGCGTTTTAAAATCATCAAGCTGACGACGATATGTAAGGGACTAAAACGGACAATATTTTCCAGTAGTAGACTTAGACTGTTACAAATTATGCCACTCTAATGAATGTGAAGTTACTTCTACAGTTTCTCTCTCATATATTTAACCGTTCAAAACTGTGAGTCGACACTAAATTAAACTATTAGTCACATTGTGATATCTTTATCGTTTGGTGCCTCGCTTGCAAACATCATTCAAAGACGCACGTAAGTTGGTCTCTTTATAATATGAAGATGGGTTATTGGCCACATAATCATTATACCCATTAGCTCTTATGGGTGTATATATAGAGATTAATAATAATAATAATAATACACCATACATTAAGATAAGTTATAAGTATTAGTTCTTTTTGTTCCACTAACCAACTCAATTAGGAAACTGTTAATTAAATCATAATCAACCCTCTCTCTTCTTTGTTAAATGGCATTCAGTGGATCAGCTGCAGCTTGTTTAGAGATTCTTATCTATTAGAGCTTAGCCCCTCATTTTTAAAGAACAAACGTGTGGAATATGAATAAACACTCGAGTGGGATAGACATGCACTTGAATGATCATAATGGAAATGAAAAATAAAGCATATTTAATGGTTAACATTACAAAAGTGGTACCACTAGCTGCAAAGCCTCTGATATTATATCCTGCAGAAACACCTAACGATTTAGAAAACGCTTAGGTCGATGAATTATGATATATTTAGTAAGAGAAAACGTTACGTACTCAATATATTCGACGTTGAGTTTGGCACTAGAGAGACGAGAGATGGCGGAGAAGGCCTCTTTAGACATGAGAAAGGAAGAGGGACATGGTGACTTAGGGCAAAAGTTCACGACTTGAACTTCGATGATGTCGGTCTTGCATGGGTGATTTCGACCGCTTAAACATCGTAATCTATATCGACGACCGCATGCAGCGCCGTTGTCCCATAACCCTTCGTTGACCGCTACAAAGAAGTTGCCAGGTGGAAACTGGTCGATGTTGTTTCCATTACATCGAGTGGCTGCAAGCACAAGCACAAGCACAAATACAAACACAAACACAAGACCATTTATAAATTTAAGTTAACGTATGGTTGAATATGTATGAAGATAATGTCTTTTACTTACGGAGATATGGAGGGCCGTACGCTATGGCTGTGCCAATGTCTGCACGAGCTGCGTAAATGCGCTCGAAGACTAAGAAGAAGAGGAGAGCCATTGTTGTTGGCTTATTGTGTTGAAGAGCCATGAGCTAGCTTGTTGTGATGAGTTGATATATGGTTGGGTTTAGGCATTAGATATGTATTTATAGTATGGTTTTGGGCATGGGGAGAGTGGAGGGAGGAGATTGTATTTGATTTTGATTTCATCACATGTGGGTTTGGGAAAAAGTTAGTGCTCCTAATCACTTATGGAATGCAAATCCTAATCCTAGTGGGATTATTTATTTTAATAGAACGATATTAGCTTTTACAGTCAATCGAGGGTCGGATTAAAAAATGAATAATCAAATGGTAATTAAACCTCGTCGGTAGATGTTGTCACTCTTTGAATTTTATATTAAAACATGTCTAATAAGAAGAGATTTCCAAACACTTATATAAAGAATGTTTCGTTCCTACTCCAATTGTTGTGAGATCTGACAATCCACTTTTTTTAATGGCCAACCTACTCACTATGTGTCTGATACCATTTAACCTTTCAAGTAAGTTACCAAAAATATCGGAAATGTTCATAAAAATAATTAAAAAAAATTAAAAAATTGGATAAATTTTAAATTAAATTTCATGAAATTTTTTATTTAATATTTTAATAGAATGAGAAAGAAGAAATTGAAGAAATTGAAGAAATTGCTACCAAACAAAGTATATATCGAAAAAAAAAAAAAAAAAAAACAGAGGCCAATCTGCGGAGCGAATAAGGCAGGCAAAGGTACCTCAGTATTCCTCCATTAAAATATTTCCTTCGAATCCTTCAGCTTGGCCGCACTGTTTGGGGTTGGTGAAAGACGCAATTCATCTGCCTCTCTTCTATCTATCCTTCTAGGTTTTTCCGATTTTCCATTTCTTCCTTCGAATTCGAGTTTACCCCCATCTTCCAAGTCACAAATCCCTTCCCCCAACGCCACAAGTTCATGCGGCTTTGTTATAATATCTGTTCCTCGAATTTTCCGCTTTGAAAATGGATATTCTCGGTTGATTTGTTTCATTATTCGAGTACCCTTTTGAGAGTTTTTGAGGTTTCAAAAGGAGTGGGGGTTAATTTGTTCGTCAAGGGATTGATTTCTCGATTTTGATTTATGGGTAGGAAGGAAATTCGAGGTTTCGATGATAGAAATGATGGGTTCTTCACGGTTTCTGGTTTGGGATCTCAATGTCGTCTTCAGGATGAAACGTTTGTACCCGGTGGCTTATTCGCAAGCGTGGGGCAGATGGGAGTGGGCTTCGGAATTTCCCCAGATTCTACCAATCCTCGCAACAATGGCGGCAATAAACTTCCTTACGCCGATTTGTACATGAAGTATTTATCTTGGATGGAAGGTTTTTGGGTTCCTGGGGCTAATGAAGAGGAAGGGGTTGTGAAAAAGAAAAAGGTTGGGCTTAAATTGAAAGTTAAAGTTGCGAATCCTTCACTGAGGAGGCTGATGAGTGGCGCTGTTGCTGGGGCAGTGTCAAGGACCTGTGTAGCGCCATTGGAGACCATAAGGACACATCTAATGGTGGGGAGTAGTGGAAATTCTTCCACAGAAGTGTTTCATAATATTATGCAAACTGATGGGTGGAAGGGGCTCTTTAGGGGAAATTTTGTTAATGTCATTCGTGTTGCACCTAGCAAGGCCATAGAGGTATTCTAATCTCTGATATATATACTTTGTTTTTCTGATTTTATTATGCTTAATTGTTGGTGAGTGGGAGTTCAAATCTCTGCATGCTTTATCCTTATCTGTTGTATTGGCGACTCACTTTTGATAATGGCTTGTTCTTGTTTTGCCCATACTTTTCCTTGTTCGATTGATTCTACATGACTGTTTGGGATAGATTATTGAGGAAGAGGCTGTGGCTGAGGAGTCTTGGGAGCATTGAACTCTTATTTGTTCAAAGCTGGATTATTGGGGATCCTCTTTGTTCTTACGCCCTGATTGTATTACTAGTATCACTATGTTGTTTTGGTGTTTGTGAGGTCCCACCTCGATTGGAGAAAGGGAACGAGTGCCAGTGAGAATGCTGGGCCCCGAAATGGGGTGGATTGTGAGATCCCACATTGGTTGAAGAGGGGAACAAAACATTCTTTATAAGAGTGTGGAAGAAACCTCTCTCGCGTTTTAAAAAGGTAAGCGCGAAAGAGAAAGTCCAAAAAGGACAATATTTGCTAATGGTGAGCTTGGGTTGTTACATTGCTTGTGTCATAATACCTCTGGTCGTGGGGTTATTGAATCACCTTGTTTGAATCCTACTTGATCTGCCTGATTTTGTTGAACCATAAAAAGGCATACTTCTGAAAAATGTAACATGTGTTTCATGCTGTTTCAAACAGTAATTTAAATTTCGTTTGCGATTCAAATTAGTGAAAAGTTCAGCCACGAACGACGTCGAAGCTGCTCGTAAGGTACCCATTTGATATCTTGAATGCCTAGTCTTGAAACTTTCTACATCACTCCTTGTGCAGCTCTTTGTGTATGACACAGTCAACAAGAATCTGTCACCCAAACCTGGTGAGGCTCCAAAACTTCCCATTTCTGCCTCGTTTATCGCTGGGGCCTGTGCAGGAGTTAGCTCAACGATGTGCACATATCCTCTCGAGCTACTCAAAACCCGATTGACGATACAGGTACTTACGTAACTAGATTATATAAGCAAATATAAATCCTTTTTGGTATGAGATAGTGCTATATAGAGATTTGTGAATGTTGCAGAGAGATGTATACAATGGTCTATTTGATGCATTCTTAAAAATACTTAGAGAAGAAGGGCCTGCCGAACTCTACAGAGGGCTTGCTCCCAGTCTGATTGGAGTGATTCCATATTCTGCAACTAATTATTTTGCTTATGACACGTTACGAAAGGCCTACCGGAAAATTTTTAAGCAAGAGAGAATTGGAAACATTGAAACCCTTTTAATTGGCTCGGCAGCTGGTGCCTTCTCGAGTAGCGTTACGTTCCCACTGGAAGTAGCGCGCAAGCAAATGCAGGTGGGAGCTCTGAGCGGGAGACAGGTTTATAAGAATGTCATCCATGCGCTTGTGAGCATATTCGAGAAAGAAGGCATGCCGGGGCTATTCAGAGGGCTTGGTCCTAGCTGCATGAAGTTGGTGCCTGCTGCTGGGATTTCTTTCATGTGCTATGAGGCGTGCAAGAGGATCCTTGTTGAGGACGATGGTGAAGAGTAGGGACTCCTTTCTTTCATGGTATGTTACAGCAACCAATTCATGCTATGAACTAGAGAGGAAAAACAGTTTTGTTTTCTGTTCTTGTTTTTTTTCCTGTTTTTTTTTTTTTGTTTTGCGTTTCGTTTTGTTTGGCTAAGATTCAGTTCAAGGATCCTTTTAGAAAGGCTAGTGCTGTATCTTTTGAACTATTTGTTTTGATAATCTCTTATATGACACTCTGTTCCATTTGTTTGAAGTCTAAGTGACAAGCTTGTAGTTCATACCTTGTTCTAGTCATTCTAGTCAAACATGTCCAACGTTCTTGCTGGCACATCATCTAATGATTAGCTCTGATATCATTTGTATCAACTCAAGCCCATTACTAGCTCTCTTAAGATCTCATAGTAGTATCACTTTTACTGCTCGGAACCCTTCATTAAAGAACAGGAACTTGGATGCAGTGAACAAAGGAATTGGCCATTCTAAAGATCGAATGCGTTTACTTGTCTATTACATACAGACAGAACATGCCCTAAACGACGAAAAATGCAGAGTATTTCAGCAGTAAAGTCGCTCTTCGATGAAACCACATCGTGCTTTATACCTTAAGAACATACCGAACAAGATGATCTCAATGTCTCAAGTTTAAAGTTCATTCTTGCAAAGGTTGTATAAGCAACATGTTTCATGAAAGCTTCAAAACATCTAAATACATCTCTACTTCACACCCTCACTCCCCACTTCTCCGACTTGCCGTTGTGTTCTTCAAAATCTACAATTTGCAATCAAATCGATATGCGTTAAAACAAATTCGATACTCGTTCATTAAAGGCTCATCGTTCTTCCAATCCGAACAAAACCAACTTGAAATTATTAAGAATAGAATTATGGAATAAATAAAACGTACTTGTCTAAGCATCTGATTCTCATTCTGTAAAGTGGAAAGCCTTTCTTCAAGTTCTGAGTTCTTCTTCTCCAAATCCTTCACCCTTATCTCTAAGTCATTCAAATACGCCTTTTTCCTCTCCCTCGCTTGCTGTGCTGATACTCTATTTCTCAGCAATCTTTATTAAACATAACACAAATAGCTTCAAAACCTCAATAATCTATTAAAAAATAAATTATACAAAATATTAATTAATTAATTTACCCAATAAAAAAAAAATTAATTTTAAAAATTCTCCGTCATAATATTTAAATTAGATAATAAAAAGTCAACATTTTTAAAAAAGGATCAATAGTCAGAATTCGAAGTCAAAGGTAAGAATGTAAGACAAAAAATTTAGAAGAATAAATGGAAATTGATTTCAAAACTACATGTAAGAATATAAAAAATAAAAAATAAATTCGAATATTTTTTTAGCTCCCATCAACTTCCATTTTTATCCCTTTATTTTATAAAATAATTATAAATTATTAATTGAAATGTGAAAGTACCAAAACGACCCGCGTCTAGCTCACCTCTTCAACCTCTTGCTTTCTTTGTCAGCCGGAGTTCTCCCTCTCTTCCTTTGACTCTCCCGAGAAACCTGAACTCGGTCCGGACCGGCCAACGAACCGGTCTCCCTGCCGGACGCCGATGTTCCGGCGGATTCGCCGCCTATCTCCGGCACTCTCCGGATCTCTTCATCACTCTCCATTCCTAAATTTCTCGCCCCATTCAGTCCCAAAAAAACACCCATCCACACAAAATTACAGAAAAATCTGTAAATAAAAAATCAAGAAGCTCGAAACAGAGAAAGAAGGAACAGAAAACGATTAGATTTCAGAAGAAGATGAAGATTAACCTTCTTTCAATTCGAGGTGAAGGGCAGAGCTGGACGATCTTTCACTGCTCGAAGGTAAAGAGCTAGCGGCGGCGGAACTCGTCGCTTGCTCCTGCATTTCTTCGTACAAACAGAGATACGACCGGATAAATTCTTTTTTTTTTTTTTTTTTT